ATTTTGGGTACATAGTTTTGACCCGCAGCCATTTGTGGGATCTCGTGTCTAGATTTCGGAGTGGGCCCTCCTCACCAAGGCACACGGGCTCCAGCTCGTTCTTCTTGGCGGAGATCTTGCAGGTCTGGAAGGGGCAACACGCATGCTCCTGGCTGGCCGCGAGCAAAAGAATCCCAGCACGGCCTCCCAAAAAACGAACCTCAAAAGCAGCCCACCGATGCATCACAGACACTACCGTGACAAGACTAGTGGCGCAGGAAGGATGGCGACTTGAGCGGGCCCTCACTAGTTGAATGAGAAGCACAACATAAGCTCGTGGAGTTGGGCCCTCTGCGCAATGGCAGTGGTGAAGGCCACAGCGTGCTCTGAAGCCGAAGGATAGATCTGAACGCTTTGCGAGGCTTGGGTACCAGATGATCAGACGGCACCTGGCGCGAATGGAATCCCGGCTCGAGGGATCCTGAAGATGAAGTGGAGCGAGACTCCTTGCGCCCGGCTGTCTCCCGAAGCAAGGCTTACTGGGTAGAGTTTGCTTCCGCAGTTGGTCAGTCAAGCTGCCTATTGAATTGGCTGCCGGACACTATAAAAGCGAGAGAGAGAGAGAGAGACTGGGAAGAGAGAGAGGGAGAGAGAGAAGATAGACAAAGAGAGTGAAAAAGAAAGTGAAGGAAGTAGGAAGCATACGAAGAGAAGGCGCACATTCCATATTCCAGGACAAAGTGCATGTTTGATTTGACCAAGCCAACGGCGAGCTCAGCGACCCAATGAGCCTCCCAGCCCATCCACCCCCCGGTCCGCCATTTTGAACTTCTCCCCGTCGATGCCCAAATAGCCTAGGAATGCAAACTCGGCCAGACTCAGACCCCGCAACAATTAATCTGTTGCTGGCTCAAGGGAAAAAAACAGGACACCTTTGAGGGGAAACAATGTTTAGTTGAGTATGGCACAGCAAAGGGGAGGCCAGAACCGCTTGAAAGCAACCAGATCCAATTACAACATGCCGCAGTAGGTCACGGGCACTACCTCTTGTGTGGAAACCAAAGAGGAGAGGCCTTTTGGGTGGGAGTCTCATATTTGGACAGGAAACAAATGGGCAACCATGCAACATGCAATTGGCCATTGGTTCCCTGTTGCCGTTCCAGACTGCACTCCAACCCGCACTGCGTTCAGCCCAGGGGAGAGCATCATGAACAGTGCATTTATGCGAACCCCGGCCATTGTTGGAAGTGTTTCAACCAGTCGAGCTCATAGCCATATCCAAAAGGATCCCACTGGTTGGGGGAAGCAATTTGTGCTTTTCCCCTGCACGTCACCCCATCGCTGGCTCAAGAGAACACGCAGCGTGCCTGGCCGGAGCCAAGGCCCTTTGGACCTCTGGTTTTGTTCATCCTTTTCTTGGGGGTCCGGTCTCAGGTATCCTTGAGGAAAGAAAAATGGCACCGGCCAATCCTGAACTGCAGCCAGCACCATGTACTTCTGGTCAAGCTTACTGCTTACACTAACTGTGCCCTTAAGCTCCCCTTCATAATTACAGTGCATCAACTTGCATTCTGCCCACGCGAAGATGTAGAGGCATCACAGAAAGTGGGCCCAACACCGAGATTTCCTCAACCAGCCCGGAAAATCATACCAAAAAAAGGAAAACCATGGCACAAGTGGGACGTTTGCCATGTTTGGCAGTTGGTGGAGCCGAGGCGCTCTCTGCCTGATCTTGCCCCTCCAGCGTGGCACCCCGCGAGACCCTCATCTGCTCGATCTCTCGCTCGATCTCCTCGACCTGAGGGAGGGGCCGTTGAAACGTGGGTTTCCATGAGCCAAACCACTGCCCGTTAGGGAACATATCTCCCTGTTTTTTTGGTGAACATATGCACACATGTTTATATATATATAAGTAACATACGCAACAACTCTCCACCAATCCGTGGGCACACAAGCCACCGTCCAGTAGCTGCATGTACCCTATAGGTCGGGGTGAGCGGGTGGCTTTGTTTACACATTGCAGAGCTTCGCCAAGCAAACCTGCTACTTCTGGGAAGTCAATGCAATCGAGAGCCGGCGCAACGCGGAATTCAGAGCTGTACAGGGCAAATCCAAAGTTGCTGAGTGTGTTCGGGTGGCCTGTGTTCCCCTGTGGCTAAGCTCCGCACGATGAATTTCTCCGTCCGGGCCGAGCTCAAATCGCTCTTGTTGCAGGCCAGCAGGATCGGAACGTGAAGCTCCAGCATGTCCTGAGGGTTGGCAGGCCGATATGGCCTTGGCTTTGTTCAAGGTACCCTGTTGCTGGTTGTTCAAAATGGGCGGGATCCCTAATCCTAACCCGTAGTGCAACACCACTCCAACAAGGGAAAACACTACCATCCAGACTTGTTGTTGATTGTTTTGATTTGGACAAAAGCTCAGTGGGGAGTGGAAGCCATCCACTGTGATGGCCCCCATTTTTGGCACAAAAAGAGGCCTGCTGCCTGCTGAAGCATGAAACACCCTGGGGCATGACTTGATTGATCCAACGGACACCAAACTTCTCATAACTATGAGATTCCAACTGCGAGCCGGTACCGTTCAATTGATGCTCAACTAAACTGAACCTGTGGCCCAGAAGCAGCAGCATTCACCCCAGAGCGTGATCTGACACCCTCCCTCAGCATTGGCGAACCTCTGAATGAAGAAAATTAAGAAGCCCGATCTTTCCCAAGCCTCTTCAAACGGGCGTTGGTGAAATAGGGTCCCTTTCAAACACAAGGGGTGAACTTATTGAAGTCCTTCAGTTGGGCCACTCCTGAACCCCGCCCTCAATCGTGAGCCCCCGGGCGGGATGGGTCAGGAGCTCATAGAAATGCTCTGCAACATCCTGGCGAAAGGAGTGCACCCAAGATACCTAGCTCCTCACGCCCGCAAAGCGTGGCCCCTTTACTTAGGGGTGGGCATCTGGTAGCTGTTTGCTCCAAATGGCGCAAAACGAGATTCAACACGCTATGGATTCAAACTGCCACGCAAGCAATTGTGGACTGAAGGATGCACACGAATGAATTATTAATTGCGGAAAGATGCTTTGCTGTGGGCACGGGTTGTTGCATCCCAACAAGGCAAGCGACAACAATGAAATCACGCAATGCTAAACCACAACCGAAGCTGGAAACAAGCAATCCAAGCTTGGCAAACGGCAAACCAGAATACAGGCCAAACAGTAATCCATCCAATCCGGGTCACGCCAAAGTCAATACTAAAACCAAATCAAACCAAGCATGCTCAGCCCGCCAAGTCAGGACGAACATGACTTTTGTGGCACATGGCCACCCAACACTGCCAGCTCAAATGGAGCCATGCCAGTGCAAGCTTCTACTGTCCCGCCTTCAGCTTGGGCTTGTCTTCAGAGTCCACCATGTAGATGATGCAGCGGGCCTATGGAAGGAGCCCCCCAAAGGCACAGGCAGGGTTCGGAGGGCACCGTCGGGGTTCTGATCGGTCAGCTCAAAAGACTTGACGGGGGATTTGCCTGGTGTGGTGTGGGGTCTAGGGCTGATTCTGGGATTGTGGGATGCAGGCCGGATGTGTGGCTGGCTTGCAAAGGTGGACAACTCATCAAAGCAGGAGCCTTCAGTGGTTCTTTACCTCCTACTGGATGAACCAGGGGTTGAATCATCCCCCAGCGTTTTCACTGGTAGCTGGCCAGACCAAGGGATGTTTCCAAAAATGGAGGCATCGCAAAAAGGTTGCCTGCTTCTGATTTCTCGGTGAACACCAACCTAACGAGGAATACTTTTTGGGACACCGGGACACCCCCCTACTGCCCTTGCTTCCTCCCCATGCCGATATGGCTTGCTGCTCCATCTCAAAATCAAGAACCCCAAACCAATTGGTTTCCCTTTAACTTCCCGTTCCACCTTTGTAGCACGGTTTCAAGGGCGCGGTGTTCTCACGGCGTGCATCCGCCCCTCCCCCCTTCCGCCTCCTTCAGCAGGTCTCCGCACTTGCCCCTCATGCGCATGTGCCCGGGGAAGTCCAAGACCTAGGCCCGCAAGAGCGCAGGCCATGCTCAGACCTCCGGGAAAATCGCCATGGGCAACCCATGATGACTGTCGGCCGGTCAGAAGCAGGTTGAAGATCCGAAGGCGCTGGTCAACAGAAGCAAGGGAAACCCGACCTCTTTGGGCAGCGCCTTGATCCAAAAATGCATGAAACACATTTGACAGACACATGCAAACGGCAAGAAGACTGGGAGGGGTGCAACGATTACATCCCGTGACAGGTTGGCACCTTGTGCTTCAAGAAGAACAGTGGAACCCCTTCGTTTATTTAAATCGCTATTTATGACTAAGTTCTCTCGCTACTATGTCTGGAGTAATTGTTCATTTAGCTTGTTGCCTATTCATTCATTACTGTTTTTTTTACCTTGGGCTCAAAAGCGGCACGAAGTCGGAGCTGCCTCAATGGGCCCCAGCTTCTGGTCCGGAGCCTGTCGGGAGCAAACAAATCCCTTGGATGGGGTCCTTTGGAAGGAGTCCATCTTCCAGTTGCTTGCGAATTCAGACGGCTCCCTGTCGGCTTTGAATGGGTCTGATAGAGCAGCACCTCAAATTAGGTGGCTTTTCTCATTGCTGGATGGATAGGTTTGGTGGCTGGGAAGGATATCAAAAACAAATTGTTTTAACACTCAAAAAAAAGCAATCAAAAAAACTGCTTAGCCATCAAGAAAAACTTAATGCACTCAGGGCTGCATTTAGTGAGAAACGTATTAAAAGGAACACGCAGTGCACGCGCACGGACACGGTCTCATCACACGTGCTGTAGCCGCGGGGTTACTCTTTTGCAATGGTCTGGGCGGTTACACGACAAAGACGTATAGGCCGGGGTTTCCTCATGTTCTTGGAATAGAAAAAGAGAGTAGGAGAGATAGAGCAGGAGAGACAAAGAGGAACAAACAAACAAAAAGGGTCGAGACTTGATTGAGTTGTTTTTTGATTTTTTGCCTGGCTAGCAAATACTGTATGTTAAAGCCTTTTCTCACGAAATGAACGTATTTTACACTAGCCCGTCAACATTCTCAGCATCGATTTCAACACCCCCCGCATGTCCAGCCAACATCCCCAGCAAATCGAATTCCTACATCCTCAGCATCACCAGTTCCTCTCCGGCAAGGTAGGTAGGTATTTATGTGTGTATGCTAAAAAGCAGCGAGGTGGTCCCTCTCATGATGGTGAAACAGCCCCCCAAAGTTGGGGGTGGGTTGGGGGGGCTGCCGCCCCCCCCATGATGATCGAAAAACTGACGATTCAATTAGTTGCAAGAAACCTAAAAACCAGCAAAGGGGCAAAAAATCTAAACTTCCCCCGTCACTTTTAGATTTTCTGCCCCTAATTGAATCATCACTTTCTGGATCAGTAGAGGGGGGGTTGGGGGGGAGGGCGGCCCCCCCCATGATGATCGAAAAACTGATGATTCAATTAGGGGCAAGAAAGCTATAAACCAGCGAGGGTCTAAAACGTAGCGGGGGGGTTGGGTTGGGGGGGGGCGGCAGCCCCCCCCCCGTGTGATTTTTAATTGGGGGCCCTTCGGTGGACATAATTTTGGGTGAAGATTCATGGCTACCAATCACATGTGAGATGATTCCCCATTAAAAACAACACAGCCACATCAAGTACAAGGTGCACATGTAGCAAGCAGGGCGTCCTTCATCTGGGCTGAAAGAAATGGATCGAAATGCAGTGTTGGCGAATCCATCCGCCCCGTCAAGAGGCAAAGACCCATCGATGGGCTCTGGCCATGTTGGCGTAGGGCTTCCCAAGGATTTCCGGATGTGGACCAACCAACCTGGGTATGAATATTCAACTGTGGCCCTGTGGGAATTTACTGGCTGTGCGTCTGTAGGCGCATTCAAGCTGTGTGACTCGAGCTTGCAGCAACTCTATTCATTCGCACTCAAAAACCGCTCTCCTTTCTGTCGCTCTCTGTCTCTCTCTTCTTTGTTTGTCTCTTTCGCTGTAGTAAATTTTAAATGAAGTTGGGCATTCCAGGGCAAGCTCGCCCGAAATGCCACACATCACTATCAGGCGCCATGTCGTGCGCTCCTGCTGGGATGATCGAAAAAGTGATCATTCAAATTGTGGCCAAGCATCTGAAGCGGGGGGGTTGGGGGGGCGGCAGCCCCCCCATGATGATCCAGAAAGCGATGATTCAATTAGGGGCAAAAAATCTAAAAGTGGCAGGGAAAAAGCCAAAAAGCCACCTGCCGGAGAGAAACTGGTAATGCAGAGGATGCGAAAAGCCAGCCGCAACAAAAAAAAGCAAAAGCCAAACAGAGAGGAACTCAAAAGACCAAAGGATCAAGAGACCAAAGGACCAAGGGACCAGAGGACCAGAGGACCAGGAGATGCAAGGATGAAGGGACCAAGACCAACAGAGCAGAGGACCTAAAGGACTAAAAATTAGCAGATTAAGATAACCAAAGGACCGAGGGACCAGAGGATCAAGGGCCCCAGGACCAAGGGATCAAGGGACCAGGAGACCAAGACCAGGCACCAAGGGACCAAAGGACCAATCAAATGACAACCAAAAGAACACAAATATACAAGCAGCAGACTGAGATTGCGGAAAGTTGTTCTTGATTGCTAAACAAGTTTGTTGTTGATGGCTGACAGTTTTTTGTTGATTGCTAAAACAGTTTCTTTTTGATGGTCATCCCTGGTGGCTAGGGGTACAATTTCTGAAACAACTTAGGGTTCAAACTCCTAAATCCAAACCACCACTTAGAGGTCAGAAACAATGGGCACCTGTGAAAATGAGATGACCATGCTTGTGGTGGCCTCCCCTACATGGGGGAAGTGAAGTTTGCAAGTCATTGAGAACCTTGTCTGACAAGAAGAGTTGCAAGTCCGCGTCGCAAGCAGAAAATCAGTGGTTGGAGGACTTCCACACATGAGTCTCCTTTGAGGAACCCTGCCTGCGGGGCGTTGAGGGCGAAGCTATCCCGCAGCGGCTGCAGCGAGGACACAGTCTGCGCCTGGCATGAGGCAGGGTCCGGATGGGACTTGTCACACGCGAGTCATCCAGCGAAAAACTGAACCCTACGCATGAGACATGACCGACAAATACATGTTCACTGTCTGCTACCTGCTGCCTTGGAATCAAGAGGCGTGGGAAACCGGAAAGAACAGCGGTTTAGCTCGTGAAAATGGGATCGGAAGCAACCCCGTGGCCTCTTCACCATCGCGGAGCCGGAAGAAAAGCGCGGTCTTGCCTGCACCGCACTGGCCTTGGTCGAGAGGTTTCTCTTCGGGCGTGAGCGACGGGCTCATTATCCCCCCCAACTTGCTGTGTTGGTTGAAGGTACCCGTTCTGGGACCAAAGGGGTAAGCCACGCTCATTTGATGTGTTGGGGGGCCTACTTTGACACGTACCCAGCTGGGAATAACGAAGGGGTCACCTTGCCATGGAAAATGTCCCTTCCCAATCAAGGGAAGGGTTGCTGCTTTGAGCCCGGTGCAGGGTTCCCTGTCTCCAAAACATGACCATGCCACAAATGAAACTGATTTCAACATGACCCAACATGCAGGTGAGGCTCAAAGATTGAAACTCACGAACCCTAAAAACCCCTGTGGTACCTTACTGGAGGGAAGCCTCAAAACGGTGGTATTGTTGCTGGTTTCCACCCTCAACCAACCTGAATGGGATGCCCCCAAAACAGAAACCACCCAGCACGCGCGAGACTTAGGCCCCCTGCAAGGAGCCAACTTGTTTCTGTTCAGGAGCAAGGGAAACCCAAAAAGGCAAAAGGTAAAAAAGGCAAGTGGGCAAGAACAAAAATGAGGTTGTGACATACCTTGAAACCAAATCTAGTTGTGACAACGGTGGCAAATGCCTAGTGATAAAACTGGCCCCTGATGCATTTTCAGAGCAGATGGCTTGGGCCCCGGTCCCAGGATCATCGCCGCGCTGCCCCGGGACCGGCGCTTCTTCAGGGCGCTGCCAGACATCACCTGACGCGTGCCGGACGGGTGACGCCGTGGGCCACCTCTCCCGTACCCCTGCCCCCTTGGAGGTTGAAAGCAGCGAAGCTGAAAGTGATCCGGATCCATCTCGACAAGTATTTGTTTGAACTGGGGCAGCTCATGCTGGCTGACTATAGCATGAAGACATACAAGGTTGAACATCAAAAGAACGGGCATCCAAGTGAGGGCGTTGCTCCAAACACCTGGCACAAGGGTAGTGCTGTGGGCATCTTTCAATGGCTGGGACACGGTGACATTTTGTAAACCGAGAAGGGTTGGCCCACAAATAAGTTGAACATGTCGGCGGGTCCAAGTGGGACTATTTTGCGTTACCACCAAAGAATGGAGAATGGGGGCTAGAACCAAGTCAAGCTGGATCACCTCTGACCCATTTGGCTGCGCTCACTGTTTTCCTGAGGCTTCCTGCGTTGGACTAGATCGTTTCCATCCGCCCGCACAAGGGGAGCCTTTCCTGAGCCATAGGAGCAGGAACCTGTTGGGTCTGACATGGTCTGACATGAAGAACCCCATTTGCCCAAATTGATCCTGGTGCCAAACAAGGGGTGGGGACAAAATGTCATTCCACCCATCCCGAATCCTTTTTGGAGTCTTTTGGGTATTCGTTCTGGCTTTTGTTGGCATCAAAGGGGCATTTTGCACCTCCTGCTGATCCGAAAGCCAAGCCTGAAAGAGCTGCAAGCTCAGGTACACGCTCAGCAAAACCACCAGCCATGTCAGGGCCTCGGCGCTGACTCGTGCGAATCCAATTTAAAGGCAACGCCTTGCAACAGCTACGCTCTTTTGGGTCAAGTGGGGCAAACAATGGGAAATACCAGCCATGGGCCTCCTAGGTTGGGGATTGATGCTGATTGTGCAGACCATTGTAGACCCATGCACACATTTGATGTTCGGCCCCTTGGTGGCTGTGGGCTTGCCACAAGCAAATCAGAGTTTACGGCGAATTCACCCAATTAGGGCCCATAATGGGGGCTGAAGTATGAGGGCACATTCAGCCTTTAAGTTGGGGCTGCCTTGAGGAGACCGAAATTGTGAAAGATGCGTTGGAGCAAGTTGATGCCATTTTCTTAAAGGCAGACAACGCAGCCTAAACAACGAAGCAAGATAATCCTTTTGCACCTGTCTCGCCATGTGGCTTCTGCGGGCCCAAAAACTCCAGCTTGCCCTAGCTGCCTGGGTGGCAAGGGAGTTGCGAAAGCCTGAAGGTTTTATGAGCTGAAATCTGCCTCTTCCCCAAAGCAAACTTCAAGCTCTTGAGCTCTTCCCAGCCTTTTCCTCAGAGATGGACAATGCAACATTGGGTGCAATTCGTTTGTGGGAGGTCAAAAGCAGTCAGGCATACGCTCCCCCACAATGCCCCTAAACCCAACGAATGATGACTTCGCAAGGGAACCTGAAGCTTTCCCCTTTCACTTCCATTTCAAACAGGAAGTAGGCAGCCAACTTGAAACCATACCTAATTGGAACCATTTGCTGACGTTCCACTAAGCATTTTGAGGCCGAGAGTCAAACGCCATGGCAAATGATCAGGACTTGACACCTGGCTGAACGACCTTCCGAAGCAAACAAAGCGAAATAACATGTGGTCAACCTAAACTGGACATGGTGCTTTTCATTGAAGACTTGCCAACTTGTCCATCCAGCAAACGGTCGCCACCTCTTCCAGGATTCCATCCGTTTCTTCTTTTCCTTTACCAATTAATTCAAACGCGTCCCCTGGAAGTAACCTCGGGCCCCTGCCAAGGCCGTGCCGGACCCCAGCCCCAGCGAGGCTTCCAGGCTCCCTGAGGCCCGGCGGATGGTCTCCATGGGGCCGCGCAGCCGCCGCCGGGTACCCCGAGGCCGCGAGCTAAACGAAAGGCTGCGAGGTGCCGCGCCCCGTGCACAGTGCCAAATGGCAACTGGGCGACCCTTGGGTTTCCAAACCAAACTTTGCCGGCGTCTTGCTGTTTTCCGAGCCTCACGTATCTTAGGCCAAACAACCCTTCTTCACAACCGTTTCTACAAATATGTTTACTTACAGCAAAGAATTCTTGCTAAAACAACCTTTGAGCCCCTTCAGAAGGGCAGGGTGGGAGCAAAAAAGTGTGAAACCCCATTTGCCCAGCGAACTGCCCGTTTCCATCGGAGAATGGACCCCCACCAGCCAAACCGCTTGCCCTTAACCCTGTTTGGGTGAGAAAACAAGAGACCCGCCACCCCCGCCCCGCCTCATTCTGAGCCTTCAGCTCCTGTGACGCAGACCTGGGCAAAACACGGAGCATCAGTGTCACGTGCAACCAACCCGCATGCAACCAACGGAACCAGCTGGCAAAAAGACCTGGCTCATGCGAACGCAGCCAGACTTTCTGGCACCTCGGAACCCAAAAAAGGACCACTCGAGCTCGAAGACTCAGGTCCTCAGGTCCCACAGCCCAAAAACCCACAGGGCCCGCACCGCTCGCGCCTCAGTCCCAACCCCGAACCGCGCAAAAAAGTTTCAAAACACAAAAGGGGAAAAGCGGCACTTTCCCGCTGTGCCGGCGCATGGCGCCAGCGAATGCTAAGTGGTTCGCATCCTATTGATTCCCTTTGGACAACATGCGCAGAGTTTTGGCAACCAGTTGACTGAGTGAGTAGCTACGAGATGCACCTGCACAGAAGCGACAACAAGTGGTGCTCGTGCAGCTGTGGAGATATGTTGAGATAAAGCAACGTGGGTATCGAGCACATGCTCACCATGACTGAGGAGCTCCGGGGACAGTCATGCACAACGAGGACTTTGGATGGGCAACAGGATTTGACAGCTGTGAGGCAACACACCCTGTCAGCAGAACCTGGGGAATGTCCCCAAGCAATCCCCCTAGAAAATAGCAACATTGAGCAAGGCAAGAGACCACTTTGTTCGACCTGCCCGCACAACGAACAAGTGTTCATCAGCACGTGCTCAAACACAGTATTTAGCACGAGGCTATCACGAGGTTTTGGCATGTCTCTCTTGCAGAATGCGCACACATGCGCACAGGAAGAAAGAGCGAATGCGACAGGCTAAGTTGCATATGCCAGCCAAACCCGCCCATCTTGGCACCACCCTGTGCGTCACATTCTGCTAGGTCTGTGCAAGGCAAACTTTGTATCGGCACGCAGCACGGGAAAACTCTGCTGAAAACGTTTGCAAGAAGCATCCCATCCTCCCTGCTTCGAAACGCAATTGCTAACCCATGCAATCTTGGGTCAGCCTTCCGGCCAGGGAAGTCATTAGTTTGTAAATTGTCCTGCCCCCGGTGCAGATGCATTTTGAGGCCAAGCGAGCTTGCCCCAAAGATGGGCAGGACCCCCACCCCTAACTGAAAAAACATGACCTTCTCATAAACATTGCACGTGTTCCATTCATCCACTCCGGCTTCAAGTCTTGGCTGCCCGGCTCCTCTTCGAGCGAGGCACCTCGGTCAACGCGAGACTTGGCATGTGCCTCCCGCGAAATATGGACTGGACAACAAACCGTGAACAGGAACTCCAATCTGACATCCTGTTACATCCTGTTGTCTGCGGCTTCTTTGCCTTGGCCTTCCCCAGCGTTCCACTTGCTATGCTCTGAGAAAGCTGTGGGGCTTCCTCATTATTTCAACCTTATGCTCACATTCTCGGAAGGGAACATGTGTAACCAGCTGGCCTACACAACTTGCAAAGAGCACCACCCGCTTGTGGCTCCACTCACTTGCGCGTGTTTTTTTGAGGACACCCTTTAACCTTGGTTACAGAAAAAAACCAGCAGGTAACTGGCTTGTCTTGAGTGTTTCCCGTGAGCGATCCTAAGCTGCGACGTGCCGGACGGCTGCTTAGCCCATGGCTCTTGCCTGGGTGTTAAACAGAGGGCTGGGGGCCTGGGGCCTCTTTTGGGGAATGCGACGACTCAAGCCCAGCTTAGCCCAGCGGATTCGATCCAAAGCGCCGCTTTTGTCTCCGCGCCTGTAAGGACCCAGAGCTTCGCAGCCCCAGAGCCGAAAGGACAGTGAGACCTGACTGTCTAGCACCTCTTGCGCCGAATCAAGGCTCGTGGGAGCTGGGGAGAAAAGAACACCGATTTATTTTGCAAAGCACTATACTCCCCCAAAAGGGAACAAGGGAGCCCATAAGGATCTTCATCATGGGTTCATGGGTGACCCCCTTTCACCCGAAGCTTGGCTCGTTATATGAGTCGTCCGGATTCATGCCTTGTCCTGGCAACTTGTCTTACCAACCCTTCCAATGAGGCTTCCCTTCAAAACGTGTGCGGGCGTGGGGGCTGAGGGGGCATGGCAACCGAAACTTTAGAATGCAATTTGTGTGCAAAGCGATATGGCCAACGCAATGACCTGAAATTGGGGCCTCTCACTCGATGGCGAACAAGGGCAAACCGGAAACACAAGAAGACCATCGCCAATGTTTGGGTGCCACAGTGTTCCTATGTCCCCTCAAAACATCACCTCACCAATTGAAAGCACACCATACCCATCAATGGACAACAGGGTGGTGTTTAAGTTGACCAAAATGGAAAGCCTTTCTACTGGATTCTCTAGCAAGTGTGTTGCACCTTGGGCCACGCGCTTAGCACGCGGCCAATCCTTACCTTGCGCTTGCTGCATCCCACGGGCTTCTCTTGTGTACGTTCTGCGGGCTGGTGCTAAAGGCCCCAAGGAAGTCCGTCATAATTTGCGTGTTCCCCCATGCCGTCGAAGTTAGCTCGCACCATTCACATGGCCGGCCAGCTGTTTGTTTGGCTCAGCATTCACTGAGGGGAACACAGCCCAGCGAACCTCCGCCGTGCGCAAAAAACGCACCACTCGCTGTCTGCGTCGCTCAGCGTTTGGGAGTGTTCCTTGGCGGCAAGGGGACATGGCACAATGTATTCACATGATGTAAGATACGAAGAACATGTCAAATAGCAGCTAGATGCAAGTGAGCATGTTGATCCTTTGAAAAGCCCTCGTTGTGCAATATTGGCAAAGAGTCGCTGACCATGCTTAACCCGGCATTTGGCTTAAAGCCACTCCGGGAATTCATGTGACGCGGAGTGGCGTGCCGCTTTAACAAGCCGGTTTCAAATTGATCATCTCAACAAAAAGGCCCTCAACTCAAACTTTCTTTAGCAACTAATACATATATTCAAAAGAAGTTGGTATCTGTGCCAGGCGTGGCCAATGCCAAAGGGCCTTGCCAGCCACATGACGTTGAGGACGTCAGTGGAGTTGCCCATGTCGGCCAGGCTGATTCCAGAGGAGGGCCTCCAGACGCTTTGGATTTCGTTCGGAGGCCACTCTGGGGGAATTCTGGAAAGTTACCTAAAACAAGAAATCCCCGCCAAAAAAAGAACTGTTGTCATGGGTGAGTGTCAAAGGGCAAGCAATTGGCATTCAAATACCGGTTGGCCGTTGGGGTTGAAACGCCCCACTTCTCTGGGAAACGCACCACACCTGCTCGCAAAGATGGGCTGGCCCCGCAAATCTCCAAGTGACCTTGCCTCTCCGGGGAGGGGGTCTTCCAGGTGCAGTCAGTTTTCCCTTCAAAGGCAAAGGGGCTCAACCCCCAATGATCTACCAATTCGGCGAGCATCAGCGTCCTTCATCTTGCTCAAGTCACTTTCCAGGTCTATTTTGGGAGGGCCGGTTCTATGTGGGCAAGAAGCCCGCCATGTCCAAACGCGCGCGCATGGTCCAACGCAAGGTTCGTTCGTTTCTGATAGCAGCAGACAGTCCTTGCCACTTCTTCGTCAGTTAAAAGGGGTACTACAGAAAGTGGTTCTAAACCACATTTCCCACCGCCATGCAGAATACGGCGCTCAAAATCATTCAACCGTTTGGTGTCGATGCTGGCAAACAAACAAAGCACGGGTAAAACACCAACTAAGAACATGTAAGCTGTTTGTTGGTGCGTTGTCTGGGTTGTCCTCAGATCTCCTGCCAAAAGTTTAACTTTTAAATTTTAATGGCAGAGTGAAAACCACTACTAAACCCCACAAACCCGAAAAAGCCTAAGGATCCAAATGGCTGGGATAACAACCAAGTTTTTTAGACACGAAACAGAACAACTTTAAAAAAAGCCGGGGCGCGGAGCCATGTAGCGTCGCACGTTGCCGCCCCACTTCCCGCGGAAGGTGCGGCCCGAGACGAGCTTATAGATGGCCTTGGCGTACTGCTTCCGCATGTTCGCACCTCGCAATTGATCGCTCGATCTAACTCCCAACCACCCCCAGGCTTTCAAATTGGCACTTACTGTAGATAACCATGTAGGCACCAAGCCTAAAAAAAAACCACAAAAAACGGCTGGGACCCATCCGCGCCTTCTGGCAGATCCTGCTGCAGCTTCTTCACATCGCGCATGCACACCCCCTCACGGCACTCCGCCTGGAAGAGCAGCTTGCCCAGGGAGTTTCCTCGAGAAATGCCAGCGCCGCATCTAGGATTTTGGCCACCCAACCACCGCCCCCAGGAGTTTAATGGTTAGACAGCCACTATACAGCCACCAAATTTTGGGGTGGCTGCAGATTGAAGCAAGATTGAAAGGCGGCCACAACCCTTGGATCAACTGGCCAGCTGGGTTCAAGCAGAAACTTTTCAGTTTGATCGTGCAGTCTTGAGAGCCAAAGGGGAGAATCGTGTCAAACTGGGCGGGTTCCTGTTGATTTCTCTGGAATCGGGCGAAGTCAACTGGGGTGTGACCCTGAGAAACTGTGTACCCCGAATGCGCAGGGCTCGCTTGTGTTGAACAAGGCGCCTCGGGCTCCCAAGTGTCGTCCGAGTTTCGATCTTCCAAGTTGTTGGGGTTCTGCAGCCAAAGGAAGGAGCCATCCGAGGTCATCTCCGTCGCAACAACGGCGCCCGACTGGCTTTCGAGCACGGCGTAGTAATTGCAGGGCATGTCCTCCGCCCAAGCTTCATGCTCCTCAGCTGTCCAGCTTACCAAGAGCATCCGGCCCGGACAAACAAACACTTCTCGGTGTCTCAGGGTTCCCTATGTTTCCCCTCTAAACATCTCTTCCCGCCAAGGAGAAGCTCATCCTACATTAACCCAACAAGTAAAAATTGAAATCGCGAAAGGAGGAAGTGTCGGAAATCGAGCACGGGTGCCTGGTACTTTTCAGGTTTAGTGCTGCTTGAGTTCCGATACTGCCAAGCACTGCTGGAAGCACCACGTCATGTCGTGGAATCAGGGGGGGTTAGGCGGGGTCCATCCCATCCGCACAATCAGCCTAGAATAAGCCCTTGATCAGGGCGCGTTAAGGGGCGCTGAACCCCCGGCCCGGTCCAAACAAACAGATCCTCCCTTTGCTTTCCGTGCCCTACTTGGTCAGATCCCACGAGCCCCCCCAGCGAGCCCGGGCTCACCTAGCCCCAGCCCCTAGCCCTTGTAGCCCAGCACAAGCTGACCGCTGGCAACCGCTGGCCAGCATCAAAGTGTCCAGCCCCCTTGCACGCTCTATGGCTGGGCCAAGGCGGCCAAGGCACGGCACCGACCAGTTCCCTGCCCCTCTCAGGCTGGACAGGGCTGGCCACGCATTGATTTATGAACACGTCAAGCCACCCCTCCATTCTTGGGGCTTCACCCAGCCCCAGGCTGTAGCTTTGGCACTCAAGGCGCCCCAGCTCCAGTTTGGAGGTTTGGGAGCCCAAAATGGCGGTTGTCCTCTTGGTGCCCCTTTCAACTTATCTGTGGTAAGGGTACCTCCCCCCCGCCTAAAAAAACACACAAGCAAACACGCAAACACGCAAACAAACACACGGACCCATTTCAAGAACAGCTCAGAACCAAACTTGGCCAAAGCCTCCATGGCCTCTGCGTAGATCTTGCAGCTGGTCACCAGCTCTCGTGCCAAAGCCTCCTGACCATTCTGTCGCAAAAGCGGAACCCAACATGACTTCACCAGCCCCCACCAAGGCATCAGGTGTCTTATCTAAGCCGGACACTATCTCAAAAGCAAACATGTCCCGTGAAAGAGAGGCCAGGGCGCCCTGAAGGGTAACACAAGTTAGCCCAACGTCAAGCCCATCATTTCCAGTCCCTCTAAACATTGAAGCTCGGCATTTAGAGTTGCACGGCGTCCGCAGATCTTGGTCCCGAGGCATGGCGTAATTTGGACATTTGGGGCTTGATTAGAGTTCCGCAGCCACTGTGGGGAAGGCAGAAAAAAACATCAGACATTTGATCATTTAAACATCAGAGCCCGCGAAGTCTTCGCAAAAGGAAAGAGGTCGCCAAGCGGTCAAGTCAAAACTGCCAAAAAAACTCAAAACACCCTCTTTGTCCCATACCTAAACGCAGGTTGACACCATCTTCCTGCAGCCCTCCTTTCGGGCGCTTCGAGTCGTTTGGCGCGCCTCGCCCTTGGCAGCCTTGGCCTCCCAGGAGGCCGCGCCGCTGGAGAAGACCACGGCCACCTTCTCCTCGCCCTCGGCCTCTTGGATGGTCCGCACCTGAGGGCACTTTGCTCGAGGCGCGTGAGGGAAGTTTTGCGGCACGGCGATTTCGAAAAACGGGTCCCCATAAGGTGGGGGGGTTGTTGACCTTGTTTGACCCTTGGATTCCCAGAAGAAGGCATGCAGTCAGTAACCGGACGATAGAAAAGGTACAAACCGCTGATCGTTGGGGATGAGGTGCTGAAGAAAAGCGGGCACGGTTTACCTGCTCCCTACAGTCAGGCATACCCTTAGAGGTACTCGTCACACAGCATGAGCGCAGAACGCTCCAAGCACGGAAGGAGAGATCGGCGTTTCCAGACCAAAGCCCTCATCAACTGAAGCTTTTGGAACCTTGGACGGGTTGACGCGAACCGCCTTCTCCCAAATATTCCGGGCCGAGACCGGCAAAGCAAAAAGCACCCGGCAAGTGCCTTTCCCACTAGGACTCGCTTCAACCAAGCACAGGAACCTACCTCGGCATACGCCTGACCGCGTGTGCAGCCCGCCTCGAGGCTCCCGATCTTGTAGATACGGAAGGCCACCCCGTCCTCTGTGGTCTTGTTGAACTCGGGCGCCGCGGTGGGGAGAATGTCCTTCCTGAGCCAGCTGCTCAGAATGGTTCGGCATGCACGGGTCCCGCTGAACGGGGTGTCTTTCATCCATCCGAAGAGTCGAACAGTGCCTTAAACTCATGGTGTCCTGTTTGGCCTGGAAAAGGTATGGCCAAGCTGTATCTTTCATCTAGGCACCTTACTACAGTATAAATATATATATATATATACATATTAAGAACAACCCTTTTTTTTACACCTGGAGAATAAGCTGTGTTTATAGACTTTACAGGCGCCAAACATTTAACTTTATCTTATTGTGCATATATCAAATCTAGGTGCAATATCTCATCAGCTGAATAGGCCGCACATTGTGAGCTTCTTCTCATTTCATTTAAGACCTCTTCTCTCACACGTTGCCTCCGCGGAGGCAAAGACGAAGAACATTCCGAGTCGAGACGCAGCAGACTCTGCTCAAAGGCGTCGTCCACCTCCAGCTTGGCCAAGCCGAACTTGGTGGGCACCGTCTGGGAGATCCGCCCGTCCATTTCCACCTGAGCGCTAAAGAACTTGAAGCCACGCGGACGGCCGAAGCCCCAAGTCAAGGCCTTGACTCAAGCCATGGCCATCTTCAAAACCAAGTTTTGGCCAACTCGCTGGTGCCACAAACGACCTCGGCCTCAACACAGCCACGTTGGATTACCTGGAGGAGTTGTGGCACCCTCACAAAGGGGAGTTTGTGACATCACCCCAAAAGTAGGTTTCTCTTGTAGGGGCTGCTTCTTGTTTGTGTTGTTTCTTTTTTCCTTATTTTCTAAAGGAAGTATTATAATTCGCAGGCGCACGGTCCTTCCCCTTCCCCTGGCCCAGCCCTCCATCCACACCCAACTGCGTCCACCCCACCTGAAGCGGGAGGTGAGTCTGATGGGAGTCTGAACTTATTGCTGGTGAGCGGGGACTAACCCCCCAAGCGAAGGGGCCCCGAAAGGATACATGTGTGCCAGTTCCAACCTCACTTTTACCTGATTTGGAGGACCCCTGGCAAGCATGTAGTTTTCCAAAAATGTATCCGGTAAAGTTCCTGTAAATAATTTCTTGTCTCCGCTCTTTGTTTGTTTCTGTTGAGGGTTCCATGTTCACTTCAGGCTTCACTTTCCATCCGCCCGCCGCCCCCCCAGCCCCAAGGAGACGCCTGGAAGCGCGGGGTCCAGGTCCGCGGGAACTCGGGCCCCGGGTTCGCCACGGAGAAGGCCTTGTCCGAGAACCGCAGCTTGCGGCGCCCGCGCGTGGAGTCCTCCTCCCCCACCAAGGTGCGGACCTAGGCCCAACGAGTACGGGTTGGGCCTGGAACCGACCCAAACGGAAGTGGAAAATGGAGCAGGGAACCTTTGAACCACCTGCTTGCAAGGGAACCAAGGAACCCACGGAACCAGTGGGATGAACCACCTACCAACTGCTGCAGGAGTTTGTCCATCAGAACCTGTTGATGGGTTGTCATTGGCCTCAAGGACCTCCAGCAAAGTGACGCTTGCAAGAAAGTCGCGAGATCCTGATTTTGCACCTACCGGCAACCAAGCAATATTGGCCTAAAAAGGTGAATATGTATCACCCAAAGGAGAGGCGAGCACCAATGATTGCGTTTTGGGCTCCATGTTCACGCGGAGAGAGGGACAGTGGTTGGCCGTTCTAGCAAGGAAACCGTAGCGTGGTTTCAAAGCAAGGTACACTAATCAAATCGCTTCCTCCTGTCAAACAAATGTACGCTATCGATACTTTTTGTCCAAGCCTGGTCCAAGCCTCTAACCTCCCCATACTTACATTGTCGAGATTCAGTGCAAATTTGATTGTATTAGGGTCAAAATTAAACCACAGGGAAGCGAAGGTCTTGGTCCATGTTTCCACTTTCCAGGGCTCCATTTTGGCTACCCATTTTCGACCCACAAACGTGTATTGTCTAGTTAAAGTGCAGTTTCAATTGCACCTCAAATTTCGGGCACGGAAAAGCTGCCCCCCCCCCCCCCGGCCCCCGGCAGCCCCGGCTCGTGCCTTGGAGATGTACTCCATGTTTGGGTCCGGCAGGATGAAAGCATCCCCCTCCCCCGTGCGATCGCACTGCGGCACGTTGTAGATGTTCAGCAAGAGATCCCTCGGCAAAACGCGAGCCAGCAACTGCGTCAGTGCTGAACATACTCCCCAAATGGAACCTCAGAAGGGGAGAAAGGCTTCTGAACTCATTGGCTGGTCGAGTCCTTTCGGTTGCTGGATGCTCTCGCCAGCCGTTGTTTCGGGCACCCCCCCCCATTTGCAGATGAGAGGTATCTGCACTGGATGCAGAATCCATGGGGCAATGACAGGGTGCCCAAACTATTTGAGTGAGGCCCCTCTTGGCTTCAAACTAAAATGGAGTCTTGATCACTAATTGGTTGCAGATTTGTTTTGGGGACCATCGATCTTCAGGCGCCCCCCCTCGCCAGCACCAGATTGACGCCGCAGGCCCAATGCACCGCAAATCCATACAACCACCCCTACCCCCCCACCCAAGGGCGGCCCAGCGGCTGATCCTCCGCCTTGCCACCCCAGGCCTGCTGGTGCAGAGCCCGCAGGAAAGCTCGGCCCAAGGTCACCTTGGCCTGGCAATCTGGAGCTCAGTTCAAGCCACCCCTGTAGAACTAATCGACTGATAGCGGGCCTTTTGTACCATGGAGATGCAAATCACATTTAACCCAAAAAACCGAGTTTGACCCCCAGAGGCTACCAGAGGCTACGAATCCATGCCGCAAAGACCCACTTGGTGCAGGAGGCCACTGGCCTCCAGCGAGCCCGCGCAGCCGCTGCAGGGCGGCAGCCGCCCAGCGAACCTCTCTTCGCTGGAGAGGTTGAACTGGTCCAAGTTCAGGTCCACACCCTGACCAGAGTCTCAGAGAAAATGCCTTTTCCGAAATTTCTATGCTATTTGGCACGCGTCCTGGAGATGATGAGGCCCAGCAAATTCAAAATCTAGTGGCTGGGGTTCTCTGATTGTAGTTGGTTGGCCTGGCTGTTGAAGATGGGTGCCCTTTCCTGTCATACCGTTCAGCGGGATTCTCGTCTATGACTATCACTTTCTATGTTTTTTCCTCTGCCAGTATAGGGGGCTCCTGATCTTTGCGACCTAACTCCTCCCTGTTGCGTAGACCCACAAACCCAAGGCAAACACTCCCATTGAGGGCCAGGGGACTCCCTGAAAAGGGTTTGTTCCGTTTCGGCTTGCCTTGGGCTTGCCTTGGGCTTGCCTGGGCTGCCTCAAATCTCCAAGGTCCCCTGCAAGCACCTTCACGGGCGCCGCCTCGTTCGGCACCACGGCTGGCCTTCCCTTGCTTCATTCTGCACAAGCCTCTCCCTCAGATAGAAAAAAAGTCACACTGGTGAGTTCTGATGACCTAACAAACTTAGTGAGTTACGAGAACAAACATACGTACAATCTAAGGTATTTTTCCAAGTGTCACGAGAACTTGCGCAGAAGTTGAAATCAATGCAAAACTGGCCCTTTCCTGGGGCATCTCCGCGCGCTGGCCCAGCTGGAAGCGCTGGGGCATGAACAAGGGCCTGGGCGGAAGGCGGGCGAAGGCCCCCCACGTTTGGACAAGGATTGCGACAAACGAATCTGACCAACTCCAAAAAGTGATCAGTGTTTGCTGGCTGAAAGGGAGAAGGATGCAACACAACAAGGCAAACAGTTGAAAAGGTAGGCTAAAACCTGGCAATTGACTAACTTCCAGCGACCTCAGATTTTGCCTCCAAATAAGATTTGCAACTGTTAGATTCCAGCCCAAGTTTCGGGAGAGTTGAAATACAACATGATGTAACCTAAAAGGTCCCAGCCGGAGGGCAAATCGCAAGCCTATACCCAACGCAACCAAAAACACAAAAACGACAAAACAAAACAAACATGACACAAACAAAGATCTTCAAAGGAAACCATGGGGATTCCAAAATAACAAGAATATCTGCTAGATAACCTTTGTCGGGAGTCTCCCTTGAGGGATGGGCTTCGGTGAGCAGTTCAAACGCTTGGCTTCTTGCTTTAAGGAACCTCCTTGAAGTTTCCTCGGGGCCAGGGCTTGCCTGCCCCAGGCCGCCAACCCCTCCCTCAGCGGGCCTGTTTTGCAGCGGTATCTAGCTAATGCCAAGAGAAACGAATCCTTTCTGCCTATTGCCCCAACCCGTTCAGCCGACCCCTCCAACCCCTCCAACCCCACTCCCCGCTTCCCCACCCACCCCCCGCCCCGGCCTCCCGCTCTGCGCCAACGGCACCCCCGGCTTCTGCGCGCCCTGCAGGGCGTGGCGCTGCGCCAGCTCGAAGCGGTCCAACCCGAACTCCACGCCTCGCTTCGAAGGTCCGGTCCGGGCCCGGTCGCTCGCAGACGAAACGGCCATGGGCGGTGGGACATGGAATTGGGCGAGCGTGATGCCACAATTCGCTAAGGGGGATGATGAAACCAACATGGGGCAATTCAGCAATCACTTTGGCCCAACTGTAATGCTGGTTCATAGCCACACTTAAGAGATTGCCTGCCCCTCAACAGCCCCTGATGGTCACTCCCCCTGTTAATTGAGGTTGCCCTAGACGGTATGAACATGCCACTTTCTCAACGTCCCCTTTTCGGTGGGTTGCGAACGGGGTAAGCTCCGGCCTCCATAGATAGCCTGCAAGTTGCTCTGGCCGCCCGTGATGATGTCCACCAGCTTGCCTCACTTGCCAAGGAGTCGGACATGTGAGCTGCCTTTTGAGCTGGCCTCAGCATTTCACCAAGGTCACCATGAGTTTCTGACTTGACGAGATCCTCGTTTTGGGACTGTGCAAGTTTGAGGAGACATAAATATAGAACAGATAGACCAACCTGGACAAACTTGTAATGAGTCACGATCATAGGCACAGCATGCAAGTACATGCATTAGCCCTCATATTAAAAGCATACGCCGAAACCTACACGATAGTGTGCTTCTACCATCACCACTGTAGCTGACGTCAAGGATGCACGATGTTACGGGATGTTGCCCCATAGCACTGGGATTCACCTCAAGGACTGAAGGTGCCAAGTGTGACAACAACCTTGTAAGCTTGCCGGGGAGGGAAAAAAAGGAGAAGAAAACAAGAAGGAAGAACAAAAAAACGGGTCCAGCCAAGTGGCCGTTCTTCAGCTGGATCCGGCTGTTGCCCCGCATGTTCCAAAGCTGGGGGATCTCCGGGTATGGCTCCGGCTCCGCCGCCTGAGAAAGCAAGCTCGAGAAATATATGGCTCCCTTATGCTCCCCTGCTCGGTTGCCCCAACAACCAGGAAATTCAAGGTTATAAGCTGCTGGGGGCATGACTAAATACGGACCGAAATAGAATGCGCAACAAGGTCGAAAGGTCGGCCTTGGGCAAATGAGCTTGAGTTGGCCAAACGAAACGCAGAACGTGATTTTTTTCCAAGATGAAACAAGTTCTGGTGGCACCTCTTTTATGTAGTGTGACTTGGGGCTTCGTGGTATAGGGCAGGTGCACATGAGGGCAACCTGGCCAACCACACATAAATTTTCCCTAAATCCCGGGAATCTAAGTCTGAAAGCAGTCGGCTTGCAGGAGTGAGTTTATTACCCCGCCCCAGCTAGTCGAACCTTTGCAATTCCTCATCCCAGCCCAAACGCCCTTGCCTGCACGATCTCATCGGCCATTTGGTACCAGGTGGGGTCCAGCCGTGCCTTGGAGTCGATGAGGTACCTTGGGACGGATCCGACTTGCTCCCCCTGCGAAGGGGACACTTCCCGAACCCCAAGCCTTTCTAGTGCGGCAACCTTTTGAACGCCCAAATACCCCCCCCCCAACTATCAAACAATGAGTTTGCTCAGTTTAGTTAAGCAGTGGTGCTTGGCCATCACCGAAGCTTTGGCCAGCTCCCTGAGATGGAAAATCACGCTCTTCCGCTCCGCGATTAAGTCGAAATTCCTGGCGAGCGAGTTGGGACCCATTCTGGTTGGGGTGGCTGGGTGGCATGTGTGAGACCCTGGAATGGATGAAATCCAAAATGGTGGGGGCCGCTCCTCCAAGCAGGAGGGTTTCCCCCTCCAAAATGCGACACCCTGACTCATCAACCGAAGGGCTGTTTCGGACTCTTTGGTGAAGAGATCATGTCCACAACGATCTACATCCGGCGATCCAATCTAGATGTTGGGCTCTCCAACCCCTAGGGGTCACCCATTTCAGGCCCCACACGCGCAAAGAACTTATGCTCACCACGTCTGGCCCAAATGACTTGAAACTTTCACGGGGGCCCAAGCTAATATGAGGGGCCAGGCTATTGGAAAGGCGGCTTGGGATACCATGGATGCCGGGCTAAGGACACGCCCAGGGAAAAGATCATAGCAATTCTTTAGCCATAAGCCAACCTAGGTCATCCATGTCATCCGTTCCCGAAAGCCGAGGGCCTCGAGAAGGCGTCCGCGAACTTCTTCAGGGGGTGCTGGGGCAGCGTCACGGCGGCGTCCTCCAGGCCCTTGCGGGTGACCACCTGCTCCCGCGCCTCCACGCCCATCCTCGGCATATCCGGCGTGCGTGAGGGGAAGACGCCACACGGAAGCCACACGCTGGAAAAACGCAGGGAAGCCTGCTCTAGCGAGAGGCTTTTGCAAAGTCAAGTGAAGTGAGGCGCCTCCCCCTTCGGTCTACCCGAGAGGGCAATAGGTTAAAATTAACGGAAGCATCCTTCTGTCCTCGAACATAGGTGCTTCCCAAAATGCAAAGTCCGGGAAATGCGTTCTGGCGGGAAAGCATGCAAATGAGAAGCCGTAAGCTGGGGTAAGCCCCCTCTCTGTACATCACCAGGGAAAACCTGTAAGAAGAAGGAGCCGCTGTTCTTCTTTTTTGTTGAGGGGGGGCGGGGCCGGAAAGTAACCACCACCTCAAACCACACCTAGGGGCAATCGGGTATATTGCCCTTGTATAGTGGCTATACAGCTGTACATCATTGTACATCAATTAAACCACTGGGTCCCTGTAATGGTTTGGGGGCTCTGGAAGCATTGCCCCATTAAAGGCTAAACAATTAGCATGGGGTTGTGAGGAACTGCTCAACCAATTTACCGCATCATGGGAGAGCAACGTTCGTAATTACTTACTCTCTAAGTAACAATAGCAGCGTGCAAGCTGCCTTTCCAAGACTCAGTCTTCCAAAAGGGGTCCGCAAAAACTGCCTGCCTGCTGGGAGGGTCGTTCTCTCTTGTGCCCCTGCGCCCTTAGGCGAAATCTACCGAGCATCTTCACGTGGGGGATCAAGGTGTTGTCCTGTGCCATCCTCACCTCCGCCTTCCGCACCACGAACCACTCGCGGCCTGCCCAGGCTTTGTCCTTCCTCATGGTCATCTCTGACCAGTCGAAGACGCTCAGCATGCCCACCACCTCAGGCCGAAGCCATGAACCCCTGGATGGACATAACCCATTTTTGAACCAGTTGGGATAAATGGAAGCCCTATGAATACTGGGATAACCACCTACCAATTGATGCGGGATTTGTGTGCATCGCGATGTGGAACCAAAAAAGCCATTGCCTCGGTACATAACCATGGCATCCATAAAGTCAACCTTTGAATCAAACCATTGACTATTCCTTTTTTGCTGAGTGGCCTCAGCAGAAGAAGAACATCTACAAGGGACGCCCCCAAAACAGAATGGAACAAAAGGAAACAAACGGTGCCACTGGGCCACCGGAATTGTTCTACCCCTATCAAAGTCAGTCAGTTGCCTTTCGCTACGTGGGAAGGACATTTGCCCAACAAGCAACAAGCAGCTTTGAGAGTCTTCTCTTCTGGAACGAAGGCCCCATCTCCTTTCATCACTCCGACGCGGTTTTCCGCTGTTGGCCGCACGCGGGAATAATCTGGGCAATTGTAACTCCCAAGTTGGAAACCAAAAAAATCCCTCCCATGTATACAGCTCAATGTGACCATCCGGCGATGCTCATGTTAATTGTGTACACGACGAAGCGTGCCCCATTTCTCGGGCCCGTGCCGGCATGGCGTACTCACCCAGCGCGAGCTCCTTGAGGAAGTAGTCCGCCTGGAACATGACGTCCCCCACGCTGGTGCCGGCCAACCACTCCGGCTCGTACACCTGAGGGCTGGGGCCGAACTGCGGGGAAAAAACGCCGGCAACGCCGGCACCTTGGAGCCGAATGCTGCTACCTGCCCAGATCTCAAAAATCATAAGCCTGGAATTGGTGGGACCTTTTCTACTGCATGGCGGTGGAGAGGGGGACCAAAAGAGAATCAACCGTTTGTGGGTGTGCCCCATTTTGGGGCACACCTAAGTGTTCAAATGCCACGTATCCCTGGCCCGTTTCCGCAGCATGGTGGGCTAGTCTATTTTGCAACCTCCCTCTTCCGGAAATGGGCCTTTGCTTGGTATTCGCGTGCCACGTGCATTTCCTCCCGATGCCCCCATTCCCGCCTTCTTCTGGGGGGTCTTCTCCAGGTTCTGGGGGTCCACCGGGTCCAGGGAGAACAAAGGCTCCCGCTTCGCCGTCTTCCGCACCTTCAGCGCCAGCAGCAGATACTCCAAGTTGATGCCCGCCGAGGGCTCCAGAGTGGCCGCCACCTCGAACGCGTTTTTGGGACGCGTCAGGCGGGGTCCTGCATATTTCACGCCCAGCACCCATGCTCAAAAGGGAGCGTAACCCACAGGGTTAGGATCTCCAGTCTAAAGTGAAAGTGATTATCATAGAATGTTTGTATTAGTCCAAAGCGGGCAAGAAAGCCGGGACCCGGATGGAGAATGCGAATAACTCCCCACCCCCCTCCGTGCCTTCACAGTGCGGGAGGCTTCATCCAGCACCAGGCAGCACAGGCCCTCGGGCGCCGGGCTGCAGCCCATGCGCTCCGCCAGGCGCTGGTTCTTGGGGACGCTGTCCATGCGCCATCCGATGTCGTACTCCCGGCGATTCCTTTGGGTATGACTGCGTGCAAGATGCCCAAACCCCCACACCAAACCCCCCTTTTGGCGTTTTTGGGTGTGGGTGGCGCCTTGTGGGCCCGTGGTGCTGTTTGGCACCCAGAATGCCCCAGCCCAAAAAGACAACTGCAAACCATGTGCATCAGCACGTATGACGGAAGTAACCGTGCCCCGAATTCCGAATGCTCCCAGTTATTGTGGTAGTAATTGGGGGCTCCTTGGCTCGGCATTTGGTCGTGGCTTTAGATATCTCCGGCCCCTGGCCCCCGAATGTTCACCGCCACACCCCGCATGGCTCCAGCAAGCTAACAGCCCAAGGCGCTTCTGCTTCTTCACGCTCTCTCGCTTGTTGCGGTTCTCCTCCTCCCGCTGGCGGTCCTGCACGCTCATAGGTTTGGAGCCCTAGCTGCATGTTCTTCTAGGTGGGTAGGTAGGGTTAGAACCATGGCTACCAATGGGGCAACCGGGGTTGGTGGATGTACAACGGTGGATGTAATCTACTAAGTGGGTTGAACATCCATCAAGTGAATCACTTCGAAGTGAGTATATCCAGACGCAATTCTTCGTCCCTGGCCAGGGCTTGCATCCTTTGAAAGCATGAGACGCACGTCTCATGGCCTTGCTCTGAATACGCAGGCCAAGTTGCACGAATGTTGCCCGCCTCTGACGACATCTGCCACTCAAAAAAAGAGACTAACCTTGCAAACAAGCGGCTGCCTCCGAACTACACGAACGACACTGGGGATCTTTGGTTTGGAGCTGTTTGTGATGGGTTTGCTGCGGGTTGGTGTGGGTTTAGGGTGTTTTTAGGGTGGGTTTATGGTGGGTTTAGGGTGGGTTTAGGGCGGTTTTGAGATGCGCCGTCCTACGTCAACGTCCCTCCAACACTGACAGAAAATGTTTGTTCCAAAAAACCTTGATCTGATCCGATGAGGGCATTCCTGCCCTCAACAGGGAAAAAGCGTTGGCCTCTTCATACATTGTTTCCCTTGTACCCAAGCGAAAGTGAATGGGGAAAAACGCACTCTGTGCTGGGCACATCCCCTTCCATCGATTCCATTGGGGGCCATTGGGGGATGTGGGGGTGCGCCCTACAGGTTGCCAACTGAAGCGAATGGCAGCTGAGGAGACGGATTCCGCTCCTGGATCAGCACTTGGGCCATGCACTCCGGGTGCACGCAGGTCTGCTTGCCCTCGCGGCCCTGGTAGGAGAATTCCCCCACAGGCAGCGAGCAACGTGTGCACAGCGGCACCTCCTCACCCTGCGGATGTTCGGAATCCGCCGAGATTTGATTGGCGCCCAGAAATCCGCAAGTGAAAACTGCTTGGTTGCAACCCCTCCCTCCAAGAAGGTGGACAGCGACGCTGGACCAGTCGAATGGGGCTCCTGAAAAATAAGGCATTCCAAACCCCAGTCCCCACACCACGACTGACGTAGGCAAAACTGCTCTCACGGGATCAGATCCCTTGGCAAGGTGAATCAGCTTGCGTCGCTTGATCCGATTTGCCAGGGCCAAAGGGCAGTGAGTTGGTGCAACCCCGGGGCGGACCCCGAAATTCACATGGTACCCTCGCTCTCGCCTCCGAGTCCACTTCCCACAATGATTGCTTCGTGATCTTCTTCTCTCGCGGCTGGCGCGCAAGTGCTGCATGCAACACCTGGCGCACCACCGGCCTTGAAAGGTTTCTGCCAAGGACCAAGTACATGAAAGAGCTTAATCATGTCAACCCAGCATTCAAAAGATTCGGGTTGATGTTGATCGGGGGTGTCATATTAAGAGAGGATCAGATGACTTGTTGGGAAACCACCCAGTGGGTCGCAAGCCCTCCTACGCGCCGGCACATGAATATCAACTAGGGAGTAAATCAATCAACGTCGATGCAGGGCGACCGTTTTCCCCAGAGAGTGCCTCTGGAAGGGAGCACCCCAAATCCAACTCAACCAGGGGCTTGTCAAGCAGCTGAGCACCCAGTGTCAACTTCAAATTGGCCCAGAGGACCATGTTCCTTTTGCAGGATATTCCTTAGATTCTGGATTCGTCCGGATCAATCCGAAATCGATATTCCCACATAAGGAGACACCAAATCACAATCAACCAGGGTGTCAGTCATGCAGATTCCATTGCCAAATCCCTCTAGTTGTTGGTTTGGATTTGTGGTTTGGGGATTCGGAGATGTTCTATGATTTCCCTTTTCTCCCCACCACAACCCGGGGTTCAAGCACCAAGCCACCAATCTAGATCTGTTCTATAATTCCAAACCTGAACTATGGAATCCCGAAAGTAAAGGACCTGCATCATGCTGAGCTTGATTTACCTCCAGGTGCGGTCACCGTGAAAAGGCAGACCGATACAAAGCAACATGCTAAAAACAGTGGGATCAAAGAAATTAGCCCGTTGGATGATCTTTCAACTGGCCATGGCATCCTTTACTTGCTTTTTCTTAGAAGATATAGGTGGTTTCCTTCAGGGTATCCCCTGCCGCTTCCATCTCTCAAAAACCACTTCCGGGGTTGGCACCCACATGAATCGACCCATCGTCCCGGATGAATCGAACCGGGATCGATCCATCGCCTCAGTGGAGACCTGCGGGGTCTGCACGGGCTGGGCCTTGAACCAGGGGAAGGCCACCCGGTTGTATCCTGGCCATGCGAACCCAACCGCCCCTGCTCCGCTTTCCCAGCAAAACGCGGCGCAAAGGCTCACCTGACAAGGGTCCGAAAGGCGCATGTTCACAGGCAGAAGGGAACTTGTGCCGGCAAACTGGTTGAAACCAAAACGGACCTGGTCCCTTTTGCCAGGGACCGAATTCTACTGCCACTATTCCAAGCCCGCCAGCCTCCTAGATCACCTCGTACGCATTGGCAGCCGAATCAAAAGAACCCTCCAAAAGCCCGACCCCTGCCTGAGTCTGTGCCATCTCGGCTCTCACCAAACTTCTCCGTGTACTGGCGGAGGGCGTCCTGATCCGTTTCTGTTCCCAACTGTGCCTTGTTGTTTTGTTCTCCGAAGCTTTTTGTCGGAAAAGATGATGATTGCTGATGGACGCAGCAGCATTGGCAAGCCCTGAGCTGCCAAAGCTCAGCTCCGAGGGGATCCCTTGCGGTGCCCGTCTTGCCTCCAAGGGGAGTTCCCTTTGAGACAAACGCGGACCTACATATTTGCAAGGCTTTGATTTGGTGGGCCTCCGTGGGGGCAGGGCTCACAAGCGGCCTCCCTTCCCTCTCCTGCTCGTCGTCAGCCAAGCCTTTTGCCTGAGTCAGGGCGTGACGAACAACTGCTCGATTGTCGGATAGGGTGCGGGGTCAGGCCGAGTTGTCGTTTCCTGATGCATTATTGTTGCCCAAACCTAGGGCAAGCTGCAAGATTCAAACAGAATTCCCAAGTAAGAACCTGACCGCAAAACCCGTAAGGTTGCTACAACAGCTTCACCTTGGCGCAACAAGATCTGGCATGGGACGACTTCCCCATGGACTGCAGCCCGCCCAAAAGCAAAGGGGAGTAGTCCTGAACTGATTGGCCCACAGAATGGATCTGGGCAGAAGAAAAACCTCGGCCCAAGGTGCAGGAACTGATTCACAAGATGCCCCGGTGTCGTCGGAGTCCACCTCTGTCCTCGGCGCATGGGCTAATTACCCCCACAGCTCAGGCGCTGAAAGAGAAATGGTCGCTCAATTTGATCTGTTCCCCTTTGCAACATGATAAACAAGTTCAATTCAAGAAGTATGCGAATTGAACTCTTGGCTGCTCCGCCGAAATGCTGAAAGCCACAGGCCAACGCAGGACAGGCGCATCCTAAAAAAAGAATCTGCAAGATGCTGTAAGATAATCTCAAAATCCAAACCTCCTGTTGGGGGCTGTTGACTCCTCTGCAAAAAAAAATAACTTTTTGTGGGTCCAATGGACAACCCACTGTTTCCCAACAAGTTAAAGTCCAAAGATCCAACCCACATAGCCACAGTCTCGACTTTTGTTAGCTACGCCCAGTAAACTAATCACAAGTTCTAAAAATACAATGCCGGCGCGGCATGTCAAAAAACCCACGAAGGAAGCGAAACACTGCCCTTGTGGACGTTGCCCCTGGTGTGAGTCTGATGAGCTAAGAGTTTGGACCGGTTGGAATCTGCGCCCATCTGCTTCCCCTGCAGCAAGGCTTACACCTGGAGATGGGGCACGCAGCAACACGCATGCTTCTCTCGAAGCGTCGTGTCTGTCTTCTCTTCCGTCAATGTGTTCTCCTCCTCGATGGGCTCCGGCTTCTCCTCAACCTTCAAGGGACATGGGGTGGAGGGGAGACCGGGTCAAAGGAAGCAACGAACCCAAAAAAATAATGGCACGACCCCCCCAAAAAGAATATTGTCATCAGATCCCGAGCCGCCACACGCACAAACATGCCCCTAGACCTAGGTTGTAGGGCTCTTCCCTTTCAGAGTGAGAAGGGGAGGGCGGATCCTTGGCCTTGCCAAAAACTGCCCGCCTCTGCCTTGACCCACTGAGAGAAGCCGCCCCGACGGGACTTCGGCTTGGCCTGGCCGAGGGAACCGGGCATGGGTCCGGTGGGTGCCTGCTGGTGGATGCTCGTGAAAACAGCCACAAACCCTCGTGGATGAAGCCCGCAGTGCTTGTGTTTATACCTGCGTCCGCGTCTGCAGACCGTGTTTTGGCCGCTTTCGCGGTTGTTCCCAACGCCAATGCAAGAGGATTCAAATATATAATTGCACGCATGCGTCTTTTGCGGTCATGACCGAAACTTGGCGTTGATTAAACCCCGCAACCCAGACCCTAATAATTTCAACGCTGCGCTAGCCAACAATGAAATGGCCAAAACCTGTCCGCCCCCAAGTATACAAGATTTAGAAAGACCAGCTGTTCCTCTCGAGACCCTTTCAGTATTGCATTCGATATCCAAAATTCAGCAACTCCGAATCTCAGAATCGCCTCGAGAAAGCCATCTTTGTCCAGAGCTCTCTTTGCACCCATGTTCCGAGCCCATCCAAAGAGCGAGGCTTTCTGCCGGCTTGACCCATACGAAGCATCTTGGTGGTGATAGACGGTACGCCGTAAGCCTCATGACTGAGAATACACCGAAAATATGTTCAAGCATTCTTGGCTAGGAAAAGAAGCCGCCTGTCTTGCTCAGTTGGTGCCCCCGGACCCTGCAGTCACATAACCTCCCTACCAGAAGCTCCCTGGAGCAGGTACTCCTGAGGGGCAGCCCTTGATGCCAAGGATTCAAATTGCTGCCGCACCTAGTTTTGGCTGGGACTGTTTCGTACTCATCAAGCTTCAGATACCAGGGTTTCTACTGCGGCTCACCAGGGACCCTCGGGCCTCCAGGACAGACACCATGTCAGAACTCCACGCACCAGCGACCTGTTTGGACGAAGCCACAAGGCGCTCAAACCATGAAAATCCAATAAAGCATCCCAACCTTTCAATGGCGGAACGCAAAATGACACCAGGGTCCCACAGAAAAAGGGCTCATGTGGTCCATCTTTTTTCAGCATTAGGCCATTCGGGGCAACATTTTGAAATCTTCCGCTCTTGGACTCCTGCCTCGCTTGTGGATGCCTTTGGCGAAGCAGCCAAACGTGCCGCGCACTAGTTGTAGAGTAGTCCCGGCAAAATGGCTGCGGCCACGCATAGATATGGCCTTAGCTGCCTACAAGTAGCAACTCCAAAGCGTGACGCTGCCAAGACACAACCAAATCTGGCCGGCTTGTGAGCGCTTTTCGTACGCATTTCAATGAATCAGAGGTGCAAGCTGCCAATTTGGAAGAATCTACTCTGTAGCGCCGAGGTTGCTGTATGCTGTGAGCTTCGTGCGGTTTGCGTGCTTCCTGCCAGTGGGTGACGCTAACTAGCTGTGAGACTCACAGAACAAGCGGCTCGCCGTCCGCTTCCGCCTGTTGACCCAATTAAGCAAAAGTGACGGATCCGGCTTCAAACCAACACGGAACCCACAAAGCCATCATTTCTAGAAGCACGTGGCAAGTTCCGTTTAGGTTCCAGGGTTTGTTTGTCTTTTTTCGAAGCTGGGCCCGCCATCTTCCGCTTCCGAAAACCTCAGAAGGTCACCTTGGACTGTTTCAGGAAGGTCTTCCCCAGAAGCTCGTGGCCCTGTGCCGTCCACATGCTTGTGTTCTTCTGGCTGGCCAGCAATCTCTCGGAGGGCACTGCCGGCCCGTTGTACTTCCGCACGAAGCCACCCCACTTGCCACGGAAGTTTCGGCCGCACATCCTGGGACTGACGGACAAAGTCTTTGGATAAAACCCAAAAAGACAATTGGGCTAAACCACCCGCAAGCAGACGTGGCAAGGGGGGAAAAAAAGCAACTCCCTGATTACCGTTCATACGTCACGAACACTGCCTCACAGCGCTCTCTCCCTCCCCTCTCTCTGTCTATCTGCCCCTGCTTCAACAAAGCCGCCATGTAGATGTGCAGCTCCCAAAAGTCCGCTGCATCCAAATGTTGGGTGTTGAAAAATCAAAGGTTGCACCTACAAGCCATGTATGAACCCTTGGTGCATTGGCTACTTAGTCGTTAGCTATGTTTCTACGATTAAGGGAAAGTAGCCGCCAAAGGAGGCAACAAAAGCGGAATTCAGCCTCTGAGCAAATGCGGAGCTCTCCTCCCCTAAAGATGTGCAGGCCGAGGATCCTTTGAAACACCGCCTTCATGTACTGCTTGCGCGTGGACAGGCTCGCTCCACCGGGCTGCTCCCGGTTGAAGCTCACCTGCACGAATTGGCGATGCAGCCGTTGGGTGGATCCCCCCCCTCCCGCTCGGACCACCGGACCAGGCGAGGCCCCCCGCGATTCCCGTAGTTCAAAAGTCACAAGTTTGTCATGGGTCGTCATGGCTAATTGTTGTAGTCAAAGACGCGGAATATGGTCAGATTCTGTTTCACATTTGGCCAGCGCTGAAAAGAACCAGGTTGTAACCTATTAAGCTGGTCCAACATCCCCGTTCGTTCCAGGGAGCCTTCCAAGCCAAGAAAATCCAAGGGCCCACGGCTCGTCGAGTCTTCGAATGGAGCGCCTGCAGGTTCCTCAAGTCCCGCACCGTGGAATCCACGGAGGCAGTGAAGAGCAGCTTGGCCAGGGAGTTCCTGTCCTCATGGCAAAAACAACCTTAAACAAAAACAAAAAAAACACTGTTAAACAAAAAACGTTTAATGTAGCGAAATTCGTATTCACTAACCATGGTTGAAAGCTAACTTAAACCACGGTTGTTCCTTTTGGTTTACTTCTGGTTTCCTCCTGGTGGCAAAATCCCCCCCCCAAAAAAAAAACGCAACTAAACTGGGCAGTTCAACATGGAGTTGGCCAGTCCCATTCCATGATCTCTATAGAGAGGCCACTACAAAAAGGACCCCTACGGTAAGGATTACGGATTCCAATTGAACAGCGCAGTTTACATCACTGTTACCTTTTGGTTTCCTTCTGGTTGCTCTTGGTTTCCTTTGGGCTTGCTATTCAAGCAACACAGGGCTATTCAAGCAACATAGCGCAGAACCAATGTGGGTGTGTCATTTTGAGGGCGCCCTTTTTAGGGAGCCAAGAGGGAGACAACCGTTTTGTTGGCCTTCTAATTTTGAGACAAGCCCAAGCTGCCACCCTGGACTAAAATCTGCGGTCCCCTGGTGGTGTAAGTTTGACCAATACCCCATGCCTTCCATACTTCTGAATGAGGGGCCCCAGCCACCTCGAAAGGCCGACGACTAGTGCCATTTTCTGGTTTCTGTTGGAGATCTAGAGGTATCGGTGCAGTTGAAATTGAACACCTGCAGCAAAGCATAGGGTTCCCAGCAGTTTGCCTGACTTCCCCCCAGAGATAGAAGTGTCCACACGGAAGGTTGAGACCTTCCTTTGACATGGTGACTCGTAGCCATTCTCAGAAAAAGACTGTACCCAAAACCGCAGATTTGGCGTTGGGGCCGCAGGCTCCAACTTCTTGGGAATGTCGCCAATCGCTTTGGCTCGAAGCTGCTCAGCAAACACGTTCAAAGAAGGGGCCTCCTTTTTGGGCTTGACAATTTTCAGTGAACCCAAACCGCCGGATTTTGAACCCATCAAACACAAAAGGACGATTTGGAGGGAGGAACCCGCTGAACCGCCGGGAACTAACCTCCGATTGCACCGCCCTCGCCTCGAGGTTCTGCGGGTTCACTGCCCACGTGGTCTGCCCGGTGCTCAACTTCTCGGTGACCACCAGGGTCTTGTTGGAGGCCCTGGCTGTGCCGTGTCCGAGCTTCGCATCTCCACCCAACCAAAGAAGAAAACAAGAAGTGGTAGGCCATCGGAACGTTTGGGGCCGTCGTTGGATGAATACGGGTTGAATCTCGAAATAGGGGAACCCCACAAATTGGTGGGTGGCCCTTAATTTCCCTTGCAAACAAACACTCGTCGCAAGGGCGTCCTCAAAAGTAAGATAGCCACGTATGGTGGCCAACAAGGAAAACCAAAGGGCTTCATTTCCTTCCAAAAAGGTCAGCTCCAAAATGGGTGTTTGATGCGGTGTCTGCCAAACACATCCATCCCCTCGCTGTTTTCTTTGGAATTCCATCCCCTTGTTAGCTTGTTTCTTTGGAAACTGGAAGTCATGACTCATGACTCCTGCGCAGGTGGACAAACCCGCATTTTGAGACACACGGAAAGCACCCATTTTGCCAGCCGGGTATAGCAAGGTGACCCAGGTAGGAAAAGATGGAATAAGATCTGCAACCACTTCTTTTCGGGGTCAAGTCAACTTTTAGTGGGGAACCCACCAAACGAAACGGGACTCAGAGGGCGGTACCTGCTGGACAACTGGGACACACGCCAACACATTCACCATGCTCTTCGGGGATCCATGCCCAAAAAACAACCAGACTAGAGAAGGGCGGATTGCTCCAAAGAAGTGAAGGGCCAACCATCCATCTCCGCCGGGCTGCTGGAAGACCATGTAGTAGTGACAAGGCTGCCGGGCTCCCTCGCCCTCCGCGGCCTCAATATAGACCTGAGCACTCGAAGGGCCCGTACAGCCTAGAGCCCCAACGTGACTAAATGGGTCCTCTTGCTACTTTTTGAACGGAAACCGTGAGCAACCACTTGCCTTGAGGGTTCACAAAGCCACATCCCAGCAGGGAGCGCTAGTTCACGCTGATTGGCTGAAAAGCGACGCTGAACAAAACAAAAAGCTTGCTTTCTATATAAAGCATGGGCTCAACATGGAGCTGCCCGAAAACGTGGCTGTCACAGCACAACTAACATCCCCAAAGTTAAAACAGATTGACAAAACCCAAGAGCAGCTAATCCGGTTCCAACAAACCAAACCGGGTTTCACCCAAGCCAACCCCTGCGACGGCATGCGCGGCGCGCCCGCGGTTTTGCCTGGCACTGCTGGAGCTTCTCCTCGTCTTTGAGCTCCACCTTCTTGGACTTCAGGTCCCAAGTGGGTGCACCTCGTGCGTCGCGTAACCAAAGCCGCCGACGGGAGTTGTAAATATAGGCCTAATTATAGGCCATGATGCTTAGTAAAGTTGGCACCACCTCAATCCTCAAACGTGGCGGACATGAATCCCCACCGAATTGTGAGGTCCACCGAGGGGTCCGGGGGTCCGGGACCAACTAAAATCCATGTCATACCGTTATAAAGGGCCTGATTGGTGTTTCAGTGGCTGCTGAGTAGCTCTGTCCACAATCTGTCTGCGGGACTGCGAGCCAACTAACCATGGCAAAATAATCAACAAGTTAGGCTGTGGCTCATGCTTGGGGAGGGGGCTTGGAGAGTGTGCTCATCCCCCTACTGCTTCAACATGTAGTCGGAGGCACGTTGGGAGTAAGTTCGGTGGTGCGGGCACTAAAGGGGGGTAGCAACAAGCTGGCATCTGCGAAATTCAGGGAGCAGGAGACAGCCATTTGTCGGGATTCTACACCCTGCAGATTCACTGGCGGTCCAAAAGGAGATTCCTCCACAAATGATGGTTTTGGGCAAGGCCACTGGCAACAGGTTTGCCCACCACAGGCAGGGGGTTGCCTTTTCAGGCTCGAGAAACCCTTGTTGACGGGGAACTGTTGCCCGTCATTCTTTTCCTTTGAAAGGACCCCGCACATCCTGGCTAAGCGGTTGCCGTCCCTCCAGAGTGGACGACGGTACCAAGGCACGGCTGGAGAAGACGACACCCACCTGCTCTGGCTTGCCTTGCTCCTGCGAAGCAAATGGCTTCGGTGGAATCTGTTAGGACTAAGTGAATCAACGAGTGTCTATCAAATGAACCAACAATCGAATACTTGCGTTGAATGAGAACGAATACACTTTCGATGCTCACGTCCAAGTATCCAAGTATCGAGAACCCGTGTCCTGCACCGTGCGCACCTCCAGCGAACCGATCTTGTAGATGCGGAAGGTCGAGCCTCAAGCTAAAAGACAAATCAAAGGCTAGAAGAAGTAGGAGGATCCCCTTTGATAAATATGCTTTTATGCCCAGGGTGCCCTGACCCCACTACTTCGCCGGGATCAAAGTCACAAAAGAACCAGACCCTGATTTTTGACTAGGGACACCAAGGCAACCCAGGATCGAGGAGTGGTTTTGAACAACCCAGGCAAAGGAAACAACCCCAGTGACAGCTTAGCAAAACCACCGGCCCCGGCTGGATCCGCCCCCCCGCCCGCTGCTTCGCCGATTCAAGCGGCCATCCTCCGTCTTCTGGTTGAACTCCGGGGCCGCGGTGGGCAACACATCGCTGAGCAGTGACTCGCTAAAGGCCTCAGGAAATGGGGTCACGCGGAGCTCAGCTTCAGGAATTCAGGAGGGAAAGTGGTTGGCTGACACTCTTAAGCAACATGAAACCCAAACTGCGTAGTATTTGGCTCACAGACACCCCAGCGGCCTCGTCCACGTCCACCTTGAAAAGCCCGGCCTTGTTCGAAACCTCGAGAATCGAACGGCCAAGGGAAAGCAAAGGCGGGGTAGATATGGGTTGGGAGTGGAGGGGAAATGAGGAAAGGCTGGGGCAAGAGGATCTGCTCAAAAAATTGACTAGCCAGGAATAAAATTTGACCAACACTGTCGTGGAGGTCGCCAAACCCCCGCAATTCGGTGAGGTCGCTCGAATTTTCTCAGATTCAGCCAGGCCCCGAAAACTGGGTGGCGCCAAAGACAGTGGCAGGTAGAAAGTTAGCTGATCCACTGGAATATCAACGGAAACCCGACCAATCTTCCTTGTGATTTGAGCATATCTTAATGACTTGGAATAACCTTAAAGGGCTAAGCTAGGCTGAGCCAAGGCCTGGGTGCACCTGCCATGGCTGTTGCGCGGATTTTTCGGGGGGAATTCTTTCTCACCCTCGGGGATCGAGCTCTGCTGAAGGCGCAACAGCCACGGCCAAAGACATCCCAACACCATCCATTGGCCGGGTTTTTCAATGTAGGGAAGCAGTAGTAGTGGGTATGGGTGGCAACGATTTCTTTCTGATTTATGCTCAAGGACACCTAGAAAGGATCAGCAGGCATTGATGAATCGAAAGCAACCCGCATGGCACGTCCTGAAAAGCACCCTTCTACATTTTTGGCTGAACATGCGGGGTAACACCTCAGCAATAAAACGGAACGCGCTTGGTTCATGTGGGCTTCAATTTTCAGCACAACCAGCCGCCCACGGTTTGGATGTCCAGCCTACTTGGCAAGTAACTTACTCAGTATCCGGCGGGGGTTGGAAGCCACTGTACAATCTCGAATCATGCTGACGCTTGACTTTGAGCCCTGCGAAGTGCCAACTGAGGACCCCAGCCGGAGCCCGGCCGTCCTTCTCGATCTGGAACCGGGAGGTCCAGGACCGCGGGAACTCTGACCCCGCGTCGCCCGCCTGAGCCAATAAGAAACGACTGCACAGGGAGATTGGCATGAAAGCTCTCAAAATGGTTCTGCACAGGGAGATGCCTCTGCAAAACCATAGGGAGACTGGCTCCATGTCAGGGTTCAGGGGTTTTGTTGATAGCTAGTGAGCTGCACAGTGCATTATTTGCTGACCCCTGCAAGGAGGCACGAGGATCGCTTCTCTTCCACCACCACCCGCTGCCTTGAAGCCCTTGTCGAAGAAATACATCTTGCGACGGTCGAACAGAAGCTTCTCGTCATTCACCAGGCTCTGCAACCTAATTCGTGCGCCGGGAAGTGTTGGATTGGCTCTGCACTTGAGGGTCTCGGGTGAGATCAGTTGGCTCTGGACGGGACCGTGTCAGATCGTGAGAGGTAGAACAAATTTGGAAGCTTCAAACAAAGGATCACTCCTCACAAACATCACAAACCACCATGAAACCCAAGGAGGGGTTACTCCAATAGGCGAGTGCTCTACAAACGGATGGTTTTGGTGGTTCAATGTTAAACTGCCGAGGAGTAAGATGAGATCACGCCTGGTCCAGTCTCAAGGAAACAAAGTACTTGGAACGACGAGTTGCTGCGTTGGACAAAAGTTGAGGGAAAATCAAAGAAAGGATTCAATTAGGATGAGATATCATGAGATCCAGCCTCATGGTGTACTCCGCATTGGGGTCCGGGGGCATGAAGCTCTGGCCCTCCTGTGTGCGGTCGCACTCCGGGCTGCTGAAGATCTTCTGCAGCATCTCCCGGTGCTCCTGAAGGTGTGGCCATGACATTAAGCCTGCACCTGGGAGTTGCCTGCCTGCGCAGGGTTCGCTACACGCCTAAGCTGGAAGCATCATCCCGCTGAAAGAAAATCCAATTTGAGATGGCAACGAGAAGGTTGCCTTTGTCAAGACCACCAACCGGGGGGAAAGGGACATCGAAAAGGCCACCTTTTTGGTAAACAAGTCATAGCCCTACCAAGCCATGCCGGGAATCCGGGTTCAAGCGACCCTACCAACTATCGGGTGCATTTGCTGTTTTTTGTCTTTCCCGCTCTTATTATATGGACTTGACAAAAAAGCTTAACCGGAACTCGGGTACTGGAAGGTTTGAAACAGGTGCGAAGTTGCGAGCCATAGGGTCCTTTCTGGTTATCCCTTGGGATGGTTGGCGTGTTCCAGGAACATGCATCAAGCCGACAAACTCCAAGTCTCCATGGGCCTTCAAAGAGAAAACACCTCTCGATAAAAAGTGGAAAAGCCTCCCAAATGCTTCGGTGCGGTGCTTCCCGTTATTGAGGCAGGCTTAACTCCTGGACGCTGTTGGGCCTTTTCTGGCCGCTTTTGAACGAGGGCGCCCTTCGCGGAGAAACCAACTGCACCTGGGCGCGCTGTCCTGCTTCAGCTGCCCAAAGCCGCTTCGCAAGGCCTCCAGGAAGACCCTGCCAAGGGTGACCTTCGCCTGGCAAGCCAGATCGACGTGGCACGAGCGCCACGCAGCCTGCTTCTTAATTTGTTTTTTGGTGGAGTTTGGCATTCCTCTCCTCAGCACACTCCCAGAAAAAGGGGCCCAAGCAGGGCTCCCACGTCATTTGCAATTCACTGGTGTAAAGCATCGCCTGGTTCACATCACAAGGCTGCCCTGACCCCGACCTCACTCAAACCGTCCCAACCAACCCCAACCCCCTCCACCCTGCTCCAACATCCCCCCACCCACACCTCCAGGGAGCCAGGCTTGCCGCTGCAGGCCGGGAGCCGCTCGAAACGATCCACGCGAGACAAGTCGAACTTGTCCAAGTTCAGATCCACACCCTGGCCGGAGAATAACGTCCAAAGCGCGCCAGACTGCAGGAAAGGGGGGGACCAATTCCTATTTTGGAGTCGATTCCATTTTTGGCGTCAAGACCCTTCCAACAAACAGAATTTAGAGGTTGGAGCCCACTGAACACCTGGGCAAGCCCCTGTTCTCTGCGCCGCGCCTGGGGCATTTCGGGCCGGGTGCCCAGCTGGAAGCGCTGAGGCATGAACCTTCAGTTTCCCGAGGCGTCCAACCAATGGCACACATGCTCGATGCGTTTCTTCGTGAGCTTTGCACACACACGGTCCCAGCAACAGCGGGCAAGCGGCAGGGCCTCCATACGCCTCCCCAACCTACTGCCCCCCTTCAGCCCTTCAGCCCAGTGGGGCCCCCGGCATCGGCTTGCCGCTGGCCAGCGGCATGCCCGCCTGGCCCTGCAGCGCGTGGCGCTGCGCCAGCTCGAAGCGGTCCAGCCCGAACCTCTCGGTTCGGACGGCGACAGCAGATGTGTGAGAGGGGAGCCCCAGGAGGGCCTTGGTTTTCCTTTTTGCTCTTGTACTCAAAACCTTTCAGCCTCTAGAAGTTGGGGTGACTTTTTTGCGTGCCCGCGAAAACACGCACAAATGGGTTTGTCGCACCATGGTCAGGGGCATTCTCAAAAAGAGCGAACACTCCAGGTGGAAATACCTGGGCAAATTAGAACGACTCCCCAAAGGGTCTTCATGGGTGAGCTCCTTCTTATTCATTCCCAGGTGAGCTCCGAACGCTCAAGGGCAACAACTTGGTTCTCAGGGTTTTCAACGTGGCAAGCTTGGCCCACTTCCACTTGCAACCATGCTTGTGAAAAGGATTGCCCCACCTGCAACATTTAGGGACCCACCTCAAGACTAGCATGCAACCCAGAACGCATTCAATTCTTGAGGCGCCTGCTTTTGGAGGACCTGACATCCAGCTTTGACCTGTAATTGATCTTGGATCTCAGATCCCTGCAGATTGCCGGATTCATCTCCGCAAAATCCAATTTGAGGAAAGCCTCTTGGCAGCGTCTTGGAGAAAGCTTCATGATGGTAACGATGAGGGATGAGGGCATTCAATGCCAAGCGGGAAATGGGCAGGCAATTCTTTTGAGTGTTCCCTAACTTGGAGACGTGCCCACAGTCAGCTTTTGGAATGCTTCATGATCTGAGTATACGCTCGTAACCAAAAAGGTCAAGACATGTCAAGACATGTCAAGACAAGTCGAACCAGAGAGCATCCACATGCAACCACCTTCTGACCCCTTCTTGCAAGCGGAAAGCTGCACGCCCCCGTAGATCGCATGCAAGTTCCGCTGGCCGCCGGTGAACATGTCGATGACGCGGCCGTTCTTCAGCTGGATGCGAGAGTTGCCTGGAAGCAGAGGGCACAATTGTGCAATCTATTGTTACCCGACTGCGACCCCGCCTGCTCCTCCCCCTCTAGTGCCCCAGTTGCTAGAAATCCGGACCCCCCCTCCCCCCCCGCAGGCAATTGCTCCGGACCGGTGAGCTCGAGCTGAAAGTCGTCCGGAGCCGATAGCCTTTGTCGGCGATTCGGCCAAGGGGCCCCGCATGTTCCACAGCTGCGGAATCTCCGGGTGCGCCTCACGGCTGGGCGATTCAAGGCGTTTGGAGCCACCTCCGGTTGGCCAATATGAAGCGAACCACTGCAAAGAGTGATCTGGCTGTTTAAAGGTTGTTTACTCCTCTGCAAATCAATCTGGAACCCAAAAAAGGGGCTCCCCGAAAAGGGGCTCTCCCAAAAGGAGCTTCCTCTACGATGGGCTTGGGTTAGACGGGGAACACCTCCAAAAGCCGGGGCTTTTCATGAAGCCTAGCCCCAAAAAGGGTACCATCATGTACCATCGAAAAGCAAACGCGGCGTGCCTCCTGCGGCGTGCCCTTCACCACCTCCTCCGCCAACTGCAGCCAGCTCTCGTCCAGGCGCGCGTTGGAGTCCACCAAGTACTTGGCCATCACCTTAAGGAAAGCTTTGACCCCCAAGCTGCAACCTGGGGATGCCAACCTAGGAACAGGAAAACCACCTGTTTGGGTTTCCCAAATTTTGACAGATGCACAAACTGCCCGTGGTTTCCAACAAGATTCGATTTTTGTTGGTTGCGCATGTCAACTGTTACGCCCAAAACGGATCAGTCATGTGCTCCTGAAAGGGCCGTGGCTTTTTCGCCCGTGGTGGTAACCAAGCTACAGAACCCTGGCTCCGCCACCACTAAAAGCCCATGAGAGCTAATTAGATTGTCAGCATAGGTGACTACGATCCCAGCATCAGGGAGAACCAAAGCCGGCTCGATCGAAAGGTGCCGAAGGCTCTGCCCGGGTCCATTTCCTCCGAGGCGCCGAGGCCTTCGCAAGCTCTCGGAGGTGGAAGACCACGCTCTTGCCTGGGCAACCCCCACCCGCGTAAAGCGCAGAGGCACCCCAGCTTCGTTTGGAACCTCCATTGCAAAGCACGATCCACACCCCGCAAGCGTACCCAATGAAACGGGCCTTCCCAATAGATGTCCGTCTGGAAACAAGGGCAAGAACGTGCGGGGGGGGAGGGGGGGGGGGTGCGCGAATACACCCAAACCATTACCCGAAAGAAAACGCCGGGTACGCCCTTTGTATAGTGGCTATAAAGTAGTGGTTGTAAATCATATTAAGCCCCGGGTGATTCGAGTGGTGGGCACCATCTTAGAAACCACCCAATTTGGCATAGATTCATTTGGGGACAAACCCAGCTTGCTAGTACATTGAGGATTTGCCTTGTGTTTTGCTTTGATCGTTGTCTTTAATTGGACGGAGCCTTTTTCTGGTGGAAATCAGAACTACTGGGGTGTCATGCCAAACCAGGAATGTGAGACAATGTGAGAAGTTCACCATGTCATGCCGATGTAGCGTGGTTTCAAGTTCAAAACTTAGCCAAGAAGGGGCGGCCAATTTTGGGCAACCCATCGCACTTGCTGACAAGCTACGCTCGGCGATCAGATCGAAGTTCCGCGTGAAAGCGTCTGCAAACTTCTTCAGGGGATGGTTCGGAGAGGTGACAGCCGCGTCCTGCGAAGGCCGCAAGATGGGCGTGCCAAAATAGACATGGTGGCTTTCCCTTTAGATTGCCATTAAGACGACTACTCAGGCTGTGAAAGACAGGTCGCGTGAAGCCATAGCAAGTGGAGCCATGAGAATGCAATCACATGTCGTGACCTGACAAGGACACGAATACACATTGTCACTCACTAACCGTTCCTGCCACTCACCTAGCACTTGTGGGAGAGCACCTTAAAGGTGAAGCGTGGCTTAGAACGCTGTGAGGCCCCAGGCTTTTGCCGCTGAGAGCACTGGTCGCTCATTGGACTGACGTGGATGGCCGGATTTCAGGTTTGAAGGGTTACTGGCTATTGCGCAAGCGGATGCGCTCACCAAGCTGCAACCCAGGAAACGAGGTAGAGGCAAGAGGCCCCATCATGTGCTAGACTTGCCCCAAATACTCCCGCTAAAAGGGGAAGCAAGCTATCTTGAGCCAGCCAGAGCCCCAAGCAGCCCCGAGCTCACAAGGCTCGGTTCGAGGCCACTCCTCCAAGCCCTTCTTGGTGACCATCTGCTCGCGAGCCTCCACCCCCATCTTCACAAAGGGCACCAAGGTTCGGTCCTGAGACAAAGCCCCCTCTGATGGAGGGGGCTCCGTACTTGGGGAGGGTACCAGTGTATTGTGATGTACTGCTAGACGTAAGTTGACCCATTGGTTTGTATTTTGTGCTGAGGTGTGCTTGTCAGGACGTTCAGTTGAATACCCCTGAACAGAACAACCAAACAGCGACTCCCCAACCTCTCCACATGCAGAGAAGACTGAGAGGCCTTTTTCACAGCACCAAATCCAGGCAAATGCTCATTTCAAAAGAGCGCGGTTGCAACACATGCGCACAGTTCTCCCCCGGCCCAAAGAATGGACCTGGCCACAGGGCAGCTGGTTCTTGGCCTGGCCTCAGCCTTGTTTTGGTGGGGCGGCTTTCCTCGTGCCAGTGAAAACCACCCCCGGAACGTCGCTGTTCATTCCGCAGAAAACACCTCGCCTGCCCAACCCTGCCCTGAAAATCACGAGGCCGTCCTCCGGCCTTCTTAGATGCTCAATTGGACCCTCTCGTGTGTGATTTCCACTTTGGACTCCTGTAATTTCAAATGGGGACTCCATTTTGGTTGCATTTGAGGGCCGAGGAAAACAATGTTTTGAAGTGGTTGGTTGAGCAAAGGTATGTATCAAAGGGGGGCCTTCGTGTAGTTTATCTTTTTGGGGGGGGACGGGGGGGGGGAATTTCTTTAAACCAACCCGACCAGGGAACCCTCTAGCTTCCTCCCCATCGCTCCCCCCACGTCCTCAGCGATGCGCACCTCCGCCTTCCGCACCACGAACCACTCGCGGCCCGCCCAGGCGCGATCCACGTTCTGCATCTCCGACCAATCGAAGACGCTCATCATGCCCGCCACCTCAGTACTGCCCTTGCTGCAGAAAAAGGGGTCAGGGGGGGTGGGGTTTGGTGGGGGTTGTGAGGGTTTGGGTGGGCTTTGGGGATTGGAGGAGTTGAGGGCACCCTCCCACAGAGGAAGCCAGTCTGAACTCTCATCAGCTTTAAATGAGTGCGCCCTTTTTGGTAGTACCCTCCCACCATTGAAAATGGAACCTGACAGGGGGGTCAAAGCGACCCCCTGTCAGGTTCCTTGTTAATTCGTAATAGGGTAACCCCTTTTTGGGTTGATCCAAAGGGATATGGGACACCAAAAGGAAACCAGCCATTCCAGAGCTTCGCCAATCCGGAAGCTCTCGGGACCTGAGCCCAAGGCAGGCATGGTGTACTCCCCCAGCGCCAGCTCCTTGAGGAAGTAGTCCGCCTGGAACATGACGTCCCCCACGCTGGTGCCGGCCAGCCACTCCGGCTCGTAGACCTGAAGGGCACACCACGGAAAGGCAGCTGCAAGCATAAGGAGCACCTTTGCTGGTTGCAACCATGGCTATGACACAAGCTGATTGAATATCCAAGCGCACCGCAACATGAAGAAGTTTCAGACATGACTGCTTGCTGCAGGGGGCGGGAAGGGGGAAGCAATTTGACTGCCAAAAGGGATCATGGGGGGGTGTTACCTACCATGTACAACCAAACTTATCAGCCACGCCACGCAAAATTCATGTGCTTGCCCCACGTAGGTATGCCTGGAAAACGCTGCGAGGGCAAGCACTGGGCTTTGACTTGTCAAACTGCATCACGCTTCATCCCAGTTTGGCCTTCTTCTGGGGCGTCTTCTCCAGGTTCTGAGGGTCCACCGGGTCCAGGGAGAACAAAGGCTCCCGGCTCGCCGTCTTCCGCACCTTCAGCGCCAGCAGCAGATACTCCAGGTTCACCGCAGCTGCCGGCTCCAAAGTGGGGGCCACCTGTCAACAAGAAGCCGCACAACCACAATCCTCAAAACTGTAACTACACCCCCTTCAAGGGAAAGCCTGGGGTAACCGGTTCCTTGGCTTCCTGAGATCCGGCCACACTTGTGCCCTGCTGTTCTTTGACAAGTCCGCATCTGCGGGTCGAACACCCGAAAAAGGCCCAACCGCGCTCTAAGCAGGGCCTGGAACATAAAATATCATTGTTCTGTCAATATCCAGATGTATCCAGTTTGTTCAAATCCAACATGCGCTATTCAGGCAAGGCCCATGACATCCCATGACCCACGGGCCGGCTCCCGCCGCGTTCGCCATTCCCCGCCTTCACCGTCTTCGAGGCCTCGTCCAGCACCAGGCAGCAGAGGCCCTCGGGCGCCAGCTCGGTGCAGCCCATGCGCTGGGCGAAGCTGGCGTTCTTGGGCACGCTGTCCAGGCGCCACCCGATCTCAAACTCCTTGCGGCTCTTCAGCTTCCTGGGCATGCCAGACATTGCCAGACACCAGGATGGCTGTGCCTCCGAAGGAACGGGTGGGCCTCAACAAAAGGGGATGGGCCCAAAACGAAGTGAACTTGCTTTTTTAACTTTAGCCAGTGCCACGGCCAACCTGCTGCAACGAATGCCCTGCTGAGCCATGCCATGATTGGTAATGTTGACTCCGGATCAATTTGGCCTCTGAAAAGAGACGCGGCGCCAAATTCAGAATCACTCCCAGCAAGCACATGCTGTCGCCTGCAACCTGCTTATGACATGCAACAGGTGGCCTGCCGAACCATGTCAGTCACCGGAGTGTACCCGTTGAAGCATCACTGGCACCATCTTTCCGCAACTCCTGTTCCAGCTGAGCTGCTTTTCAGCTTCGTAGGACATCCGGCGGTCTTCCTGTCGGCCATCGGGCGACAGGATTCAGGAATCGACCGAAACGTTGCCCGACACCGACAGCAGACCCCCCCCCAACAATCAAGCTCGGCCTAGCGCGTGCAAAAAGGAAGGCGACTATGGAAACCTGAGAAAGATTGTCATGGCGGGGGCAACCACGAATGCTGCACACTCACTGCAGCCAGCGTATGCACATCACATGGGGAGATCGCAAACAATGAAGAACGATGGATGCCTTACAAAGCACTGGCTTTCTTGTGCGGAAAGGACGGAAGCAACACCCTCCAGATCCCTCACTGCAAGCCCGTCCTGCTTCTGCGCATCTTCCACCAGCACTTGCGCCATGCACTCTCCATGCACACAGCTGCCCTTGCCTTGGCGGCCCTCATACGCGTGCTCGCCCACCGGCAACTGGCACCTCGACCGGCACCCGGCAACAGGTGCGGAACCACATGACCGGTCGCAAACCACACGGCACCACCTGTGATCGCCCCTCGAGCAGGACCGTGGTTGTGTTGCGATAGCAAAGTGGAGCTCCAATTGCAGTGCCTTCTTTGTCGCTTTTCAATGCTGTTGAAGCTGGTTCTCTTTGCCACATATATAGTAGATCTGGTCCGACCCCGTGCGCCTGGTGCACAGAGGCACCTCCTCCCCGTCGGAGTCCACCTCCGCTAGCTTCACCTCAAGCTCACAAACGGAGTGGACGATCCTACCGTCCACCTGGGCCCCCAACACGGGAAATTGTGTGAGTCCCCTGGCAGAGAAGTGAGCCACCCAGGTCTCCTAAGTGGACAACGGACATTTGGACACCTCGCAAGGTCGGTGAAAAACCTCCAACCGGATGCCCAAGGCCCAATTGATTGTCCTTGGGCTGTCCCCGACTTGGATCGGGATTACCACAAATCTATGTGGGGATCTTCTATGCCTTACATTTCCAACCCTCCAACATATCTGAGTCACTGAACATAACTGTTGGGGTATTCTCAAAGGCATGTTCGAGGATTATTGGAACTTTGTAGGTTATAACCTTGGATATTTGTCAGCCAACCGGGGGTTAGCCTCACCTTTAGCCATGGCAACCACCTAATCCGTTCCCCCTTTTAATACATGGACCCTAGTAACAAAACAGCCAGGTCCCCAATACTACTTATAGAATAGCCAAGTTCAAAACCAACACTAAACTGTCCGATGTCTCGGCCCAGACCAGCCGCAGCCTTATTAGGGGGCTCTTTGCACCAACCCAATACCAGATTCTAGATGCATACTTACCTTTTGCTAACTTACATGTACTTTTGAATTGTAGTTCGAAGTTTTATCGACGCCCTTTACTTTTGAACCGCAAAAACGAAAAAAACCACCTTGAACGGTTTTGTCTAACATTGTTACTCTGAAAATTGCGGTTTTTTGAGGTGTTTCGTGTCCGGGAAGGGGAGCCCGTTTGGACGAGGACCGAACCATAATCCCCCAAATTACAATCTTTCCAACAAACACGGAAGTGGACAAATGGAAAAAAGACGATGGACGTCTTCGATTGATATGTCAGGCGTCCCATTTAAGGGGGGAATCCTCCAGGTCGACCCCATTGGCAAACCGCTCAGGGAACCAAATCCTTCCCTTGGCCTACGCCGGAAGAACCGGAAACCAGGCCCAAACTTGGTTTTTGTTTTGACATTTTGGCCAACTTCCTATAGTGTGTGGTCCCAGGGGAGTTTCTCCAAGACCCCGCGTGACCTCCCCCTCTGCACCGCGCCTGGGCCCTCAGCAGTTTGGGCGCCCGCTTGGCCTTCAGCACCGCCTCGCGAGGAACACGCAAGTCCGGCCCCGTGCCCGGGACAAAAGAGTTGGGCCTGGATGGCAAGTGAAATAAATGACAAACAAACAAAACACACATAAATTGTCACATAAATAAGAAAACAAACAATGAGTACTGCGTATAAATGTATAGGCGTGCGTATACACTATACATGTATATGCGTGCATGTACATGTAAAGAATATGTGCATATGTATGTACATACTTGCGTACATTATTGTGCATCTGTCCATACATGGAAAATATAAGTATCAAGATCAAGATCTACTTATACAGTTGCATATGGATTGGTTGGCTGTGCAGCTGCACGCACGACTTGCGCAAGGCCTCGATCGCCTCTTTGGGCGTGGTGCCGCTGGGGCGGCCCACCGCCCAGGGAAAGGCCTTGCGCATGTACCCCGGGTTGCCTGGCGGCTCAAGCCGATTTGGCCCCAAACAGGCTCTGAAAGGGAGAACCGGGCACTCTTGTGGAAAGTGCGACGTCCCCTTCCAAGAGCAGCACTTTCTATTTGGAGCAAATGGCTCAACCCTGTGAGCCCAGGGGAATGTTTTCCACAAGCTTCGGATTTTGTTGAGCACGCTTCTCGGACTTGCCTCGCGTTTTCAGCACATCATCGGATCAAAACTGGACCTTTCCCGAGCCACACTTCACCAACAAGTGGAAGGCCTTTTGGGCGCTGCTTTGATGGAAGCCGGACTTGTTTATGAAACCACCCACGCGCTTGTATTGTGTGTGTTCAGAAGTAGGGGGTGCCCCCACCCAAACATGACTTTCCTGGTGGTTTCCAGGGGTTCCTGCTTTGCATTACACCCGTGCCAAGCAGGTTCCATCTAGTCAGGAGTCCCAGGCCACCAAGAAAGAAAGCCACGATGGAATCCAACCCTGAGAAGACCCTGATTTTCCCCAACGACATCGCGTCTCAGGCAAGCCTTGGCTTGGGGTAGCTAAGGAAATTAATCTCAATGCCCCTGCTTTCTAAAGTGGCAAACACATCCCTACAAATCCACGAAGGCATAACTGCAGCGCGCAAAGGCTGGCATTTCTACAAGCCCCAACTGCCTAAATCGGGCAACATTGGCACGTCCTCCAGCCTCCGGTGCGGTTCTCCCCAAACTTGTCCATGTACTGCTGCAACGCTTCCTTCTCCTCCGGACTGGGGCCCTTCTCTGCCTGGCGTTAGCATCCGTTTTCCTCTTGCCCGGGCGGTATGGTTGCTTCGTGGGCTGAGACGCCGTGTGGCACGACTGCGTTGGAATACGCTTGAGGGCCTTCCAGCTGAGCCACGGGTGTGCTGAACTTGAGGAATGTTTTATTGTCAAGTAAGACCGTGTGCCCCGGACATACGACTCATCCATTGGGGTGAGACTGCTTCATTGTTGAAAGGTTTCAACCTGAGTGCAAGATGTTGAAAGCTCTTTCGATGCGTGGGGATGGCATGGGCCTAGTTGGTGGTTTGGTGGTTCGGAGCTTTAGGGCCTGGGGGGTCAAATCCCCAAGCCATCTATCCAAACTACTAAGCAAGAATAATGGCTAGGAGTCCATTGGGAAGACGCCACACATGGATAACAGCAACTGCGCCACGCACGCACACAACACAACACACACACACACATGTTGCCCGAGGAAACCCTCATCTCCTTTTGAAGAACAGCAGGAAGAGAAGGTTTTTTGGGAAAACTGGTGGCGCTGGTACTTGGTGATAACCAAACTGAAACTGGCGCCATATTGTTGTTAACCAGACTGGGCCACCTGCAAAAAGTTGGATTTTGCTGCTTTCGCTGGATAAAAGAAAAAAAGAAGGAAACCCAAAAAGGCAAGAGGGCAAGAAGAATACTTGTTTGGCCTGGGAATCACACTGACATGAAAAGGCTCTGAAAAGGACACCTATAGATAGCCTATGGACCCAGACGTTCTGACGCCGTACTGGGGGCCGGGCTACATCAGGCACCTGCGCTGAGAAAGCTCGGCTGTCGGCGGACATCCAATATGGTTGGAAGGAGTTTGCACCAAATTCCTTAAAAGCATTTCTTGAGCCTTCCTTGCAAATTGAGAGGCGTGATTGAAATCACATTGTCCAGTGACATGGGACATCCTGACAACACGACACATCCGGGGCTTCATCTTAAAAGAACAACGGGGTGACGCTAAACATGAAAAGAGCGAGCCTGCGAAACTCCAGAGCTCCATTTTAGAGGCCACCTGAAGAGCGCGAGGGGGATTCCTTTCTTTTCCCCGCCCTTGAAAAATACCAAAAGGGCACCATGAGTAACCTCCAAAAAAGATGCCAACCAAATCAATGTGTATGGCACACATTAAGGCGCTATCGCGACATCTTTAGGCCATTTCAACATCAAGATACTTCCTTCCACTATCTTGCACCCAGTCGCGCATGACGAGCTTCGAACGCTTGCCTTCTCCTCCTCGCTGGTGCTCTCACCCTCACTGGTGGATGCATCTGATACGTCCTGCGGGAGCAGGGCGAGTCGAGGGCGCCACTATGCAATAGAGGCGTAAAGGTTCTAACAATTATGCGGCTGCTGAAATGCCCGAAAAAACAGACCAAGCCACGACCATAAGAAAATCATGTGTTCTTGTTCTGGCAAGGCTTAGGCGGTCACAAGTCACAGCCAGGACTTGCACTAGGGGATTGCCCCAAGAATTTGAGCCTCCACATACACTCAAAGACGCAAAAGGTGACAACGTGTTGGCAGGCGACCTTCCTTTCGGAAAGGGGTCGAAAGGACATGCATGTGTGGTGGGATGCATTTCCTTGTTGGCTGCGGAAGCCCCATGCCAAGGGAGAAAAGGCGCACGAAAGGCCAAGAGTTCCGAAGCAAACCGACAAGCCACGTGTTTTGGAATAATTATTGAACCCCCCCGGAAATATCCATGATGTGCTTAGACTTAGAGGCCCTGCTGTGCCAACATGCACGCTCTAGTGTTTCCTGTCAGTTGCCATCAACTATCCTAATTCCACTCCCACATGGGGCACCAGGAAACCGCAGCATGTGGATGCATTTTGTCTGTGCTGTGCCGCCGCCCGGGCTCCTTGGACTTCACCAAAAGCTCCTGGCATGTTCAGAGCTCGAGGGTGAATCTGGAACCAACGAGGATTAAAAAAAAAACGAGCGTGAATCTGGCACCCTCCAAAAAAAAAAAAGAAGAAGAAAGAACCCCAACCACCTCAAGCGGCTTGGACTCCATAAGCCTCAGGCAAGGGTTGGGTCGTTGGGCTGCACATGGGCGCTCTTTGGAGTGCATGCAGCACATGTTTCCGTCCAGCCCTGGCAAAGTACCGTCCAAAAGCTTCACCATGTCCAATTCTTGGGGCACTTCTATGCAAAACCAAAACAACCGCTGCGGGACAGAACGGATTACTACAGGGGGGTCCTCAAAATTTATGAGCTTCAAAATTGTTGGCATCATTTTTATTGTCCATTAAATCACCAGCGAAAAGGGGGTCCACCACATTGAGAAACCCCGCAACAACTCGGCCTTCAACGCAAGAAGCCGCGACGGCCAGTGCAACATCATGCAGACGATTCAACACACCGATCGCAAGTTGTCACTGCACTGCCGCCGCCGTGCTCCTTGAACAATCCTGGCTTCATGCCTCATAAGCAAACAAATTGTCAGGTCAGTTGCATGCATCAATAGGACAGCCACCGGTCCTTGGTCCCTTTGATTCTGCGATTGGCCTACCCCCTAACAGGCACCAACGTGGTTTTCCCATCTATTCTGCCTTCAGCGCGGAGGGGGGTTTGGCAATTTGGAGGCATGCAATTTGCTTCGGCTCCCCAGGCATGGAGTTCAATAGGAATCTAAGTCAATCTGATTGAAACAACTCGATTGACGACAAGCTACGGGCAGGGATGGCAACAATGAGTGAACCCGCCCCCTCCCCCATGCGCACCGGTCGCCCTATCACATCGCCCGTCTCCGGCCTTGCCCTTGAGGCTAGTTGTGACCCATCCCTTCTGCGGGCCCACGCCCGACACGAGCTCATAGCAAAGACGGCCCTCCTTCCATTCCAGCTCCTGCGAGGTCTACACGTTTCGCAGATTTACCCGAGTTTCTCTCTCCCTCTCGCCATCGCAATCTCCAGAGGCATGGGTACGCAGGAGTGGGGCATTGAAACTTCCGGCTTCTATGCCCCACGAAGTTGACATGTCACCCTGCAAGTTCAGGCCCATATTGATCAAGCCCCACATGCCCACACTACTGACTCACAGCATGGCCTGAGCTATGAGCAGGTCACGACCCTCGATTCTCCTGAAACCTCCTTCACCTTCACCTTGGATCCCCTTGTGGCTCCCCTTGTGGCTCCCCAACGTAGGCTATGGCTCCCCTGGCCGCGGCATGCCGCGGAGTCTCCTTCACCTTGGCTCCGGTGGCCAGGCGCTCTGCACAGGCCGCCGAGGACAGGCCCACGTCCTCGCGCACGATGATGCCCCCCTTGTCGGCGCCGCCCACAACCTGCCGAAACACGCAGGCCGACGAAGGCCCCAAACATACCCTCCCCGTTTTTTGTTGAATGCTCTTGCGAGCCAAGAATGGGATGCTTGATTCGGGTCCATATTTCACTTAACCTTACACATGCTTCAATAATATTCAATAATTCTCAAGAGAAATCCCGGGTATCCCGCGAAAGGTTCGGAAGAAACACTGGTAGGGGTTCGTAGGTTCTGAGACTGGGAGAGGAAATGCTTGCGCACATAAGGTGCCCTCCCCATGCAAGTGATGTTCACCCAAAGGGTCCCCGCTATAGACAGAACATTGTGGAAAATTAGGCTTCAGTTTCGTGGCGTTTTGCGGGAAATTGAGTGAGGCCCCTTGTCCCTCTCAGATTGATCACAGACTACTTGGAGGTTAAGCCTGGCTATACCTACTTACTTGCTAAGTCGGTTGAACATTCAAGGGGTTTAAAGGACCTCAAATGAGCAAACAACAAACCGGGTTCATTCCAGTAACCGTGCCGGATGGACATGGTACTTGCAAGGGGCCCACCGTAGGAGCTTTTAAAGCTATTACGTAAATAAAACCCGCAGGAACAAGGTGCGGTTTGCTTCTTTCGAAATACGGGCTTTGCAACCCAACTCATCAAAGGGCACTTGTTTCGGCAGGTGGAAACCCTTGTCGCACCTGGCAGGAACCTGAACCACCATGAAGTGCGCCCAAGCAAACAAGCTTGGACACTCAGCCCCCCCCCTCCCCCCTCAATTTGTGGGAGGTTAAGAGCACCCAAGTTCAACCCCCTCCTGTCCTGAATCCACTATTTTGTAGGCGGGATCCAAATCCCTAAGGCCCTACACTTCCAAGTGTCTTCTGAGGATGTACTTTGAGACTTTACCTCGACCCTCTGATAAAAAACCAAAGCCTCCCAAGTCGTCATGCTCGAAGCGCAAGCCGAAGCACCCGGGAAGTGCCTGAGGTGCCGTATTTCGTCCCGCGCACTGAAATGTCTAGACCCAGACAATGGCACCGCTAATTCCTACTTGAAAGGGAGCCTGGGTGCTTCCTTTGTTTTTGGCGGCTTCAGCAAATCGTCTCGCCGGATTTGGCCCCGTACTTCCCTTGAGTGTGGTTTTGGCGAAGAGCTTCGGTGCACCGAATTGTCAGAACCAGCCCGAACGCCCCCGCGGAACCAGGCCCTGTGCCTGCACGGCGACTTGCGTCGAAGAGGGCAGCTGGAACCAGTGACCCGTTCGGCAGAGAACACGAAAACAAAGAACCACACATGTTTTCTTGGTTGATGTCATTTTCGACGGGAACCCACTAAACAGGCGAGATTTCACGGGTTCCACTGAAAAACTGGGAGTGTGAGAAAATCGGAACCTGAGGCGAACGAAGTCATTGCTCTAGATTCGAAGCAGTTTATGCCAGGCAGTTGAGCAGTGACCACAAGTTCAGTCCTTGACGGGTTCGTAAGTGTGCTAATTTCTTTTGCTTGGTTCAGCCATGTTCAGCCATTAGCGCGTTCGCACTGAGTTATGAAGAGAGGAGCGCAGAGCAGTTTGGCCTTCACGCAGGCAAATACGCAGTGCGCAGCAAGTTTCATCTCGCCACGTGCTGAGGATGAATAGCTTGCTTCTCACGCCCGTCTCCATAGTTGACACACCCCTCGGACCTGTAGCTGCTCATGGCAGTCAACCCGACTAGGCAGCTTTACAGCTTCACATGCCCCTTTCCAATCATGCGAGCGTGTGTAAATCAGCGAGGCCGGGGGTCCATTGAGAAGGGCCCATTTGACCTTTCCAATTTTTTAATGTTATCCACTCCCCTCCGCCCTCCCTGCGGGCAAGCCGCGGGTGACGAAGAAACGTTCAGGCAGCTTGAGCCAAAGCTGGTTGAAACCAGTGACACACTGCGCCCTGGAAACACCAAGCCCCTTCGGGGACCCAGGTTTGGACGGGTTTGGAAGCCAAAAAAGGCCAAGCACACCTTGCCAATCTCCCGAGAGTGAGTGGCTGTAACCGGCTATGATTCCAAGCAACCTGCGAGCAGCTGAATTGCCAAGCGTGTCAAAACTATCCTTGGTCGGTGTCCGGTCGGTTCCTCTCCAGTCTGCCTGGCCCAAAGGGGCCCTAGTTTTGATACATATCCCCTTCTGTATTTGGTTTGGAGGTTTGGGACCCATCCCTTGCCCCTGTCTTGAACTTGCCTGCGACGCGCACGGCTCACCTGTCAACTCGCTTTCCTGCGAGGCTGGTGCACCTGTTTGCGGACTCCAAGGGACTCCGTCTGCGGAAAGGAAGAGTCTTACCAAGTCCTCCCACAAGCTATCTGTCAAATTGGGGCTGCAAACTTGCTTGCCCAGTGTGACTTCGTGAAGTCACACTCCACTTGTTTCCACTCAGCCCCATGCTTTCTGCACAGGCTTCTTGCATTCAGCCCGTTCAACCAGTGTGCCGTAATAGTCATAATTACAGTCCACGATTTGAGGCGCCTTCCAAAAGACAAAGAAAAAATGACAAATTGCAAAGCCACCGCAACACTGCATTGGAAGGAACCACATACCACACAACCTGTGCGCTCTAAGCCTCTAAGCTCTCGTGGCCTGCTCCTTCGCATGCATGCGCCTCACTCAGAAGCAGGCAGGGATCTTGGGCTTCAGCACCTCGTGCTGCCTGTTGGAGCTCCTCGGTGCCGCCCGTTTCCTAATATATAACCCCCTATTAATCAACCGAAGCCCCACTGAAACCAGGGACACCCCATATTAATAAACAACGGTTTATTAATAGGGGGCGTTCACAAGTTGGCAGATCCGCTGTCGTTGCCTTGGCACCTTGGCAGTGGACCCCCCCCCCATCCCCCAGTTGCCCAGTGACCCCGGTAGGAAAGCGAAGTGGAACTGGTCGGGTCGATTCCATTCCGAGATCCCGATCCCACCAAGCTGGCCTCATCATTCCCGAGTGCTAAGTCGAAGGGAAACTACCCCAGACTTTGAAAACCCCCAGAACCAGAACTTATTATCCTTGCCAACCAAAAGCGATTCGGGGCCCGGCGCCCTTGCCGAGGGGCCGTGCCAGCCACATGACGTTCAAGAAATCCGAGGAGCGGCCCATTGCGGCCAGGCCAAGACGTCCCGGCTCCCCAGAGGGCCTCGAAACTCGAAACGCCCCCCCAAGCTTGGAAGGTTTCCCATGGATCCAGAGGGCTCCGGATACAAAGCAAAACATGGCTGGATGTCCTGTTGGCTGGATGTCGCTTTGGCTGTGCGCCCCGAATGAGTCGTAGACTCGTCCAAATTGCCAGCTCAATGGACAGGGTAGTTCTGCTCGTTTTTCATTGAAGAGTAGTACTGGCACAAAGTCGCATGGTGCTCAGGCAGGGGCCATCAACAACATCTGTTGATTGAAGCATGTTGAGACCACTTCCTGCGACCTACCCCTTGGATGATGGGAACGAGCGGGACCTCTGATTCTATGCAATCCGTGACTGTGCCCCCCGACAAAATAAATGACCTGGGAAATGTCAAATGGGGCCACGAAGACTACTTTGCTCCAGCGCTGCCAGAATGAGGGAAGACCCTTTCGCTTTGCAATCGGGACGCGGTGGCGCATACTTCTTCATGTTGCCGCCCCACTTGCCACGCAAGGGCCGGCCGGTCACGGACTTGAAAATGGCTTTGGCGTACTGCTTGCGGTGGTGCATGCTCGCGCCTTGCTGGGAAAGCAGAACGACGAAATGGGCGTGACCCCCTCAAGGGTCGTCCCCTTCCCCCAATGGAAAGGGGATCCACAACTGATCACAACTGTGCCCTGCCAGCTTCTGGGTGTTATTCGCTTGCTATTTATGCAATGCCATGTAGGCATGACCAAGACGGAGCCAACCTTCAACCTTCCCACCCAAGATTTGGCTTGGTCTCTAAATGAGGGAACCCCCAAAAACGCATGCTTGCCCTTTTTCCTAAATTTCCCCTTTCATTTAAAGTGGACACGCAGGTTAGAACCCCTGCCTGGTGGCAAGGACACCTCCTCCGACATCAGCTTCACATCGCGAATGCTCATGTTGTCCTCAGGGGGACCGTTCCAAGCGGCCTTTCCGTGCTGAGGGCTGCGTTTCACACAAGGGGCAGTCGACTGAGTTTTGACTTATTTGTTTATTACGCACCAGGCTTGAGGCAGTCTCCTTGGCGTCTGACTGGAAGAGCAGCTTTGCCAGGGAGTTCCTGAGGCAGGCGCGGGACGCGTAACGCGGACTTTCTGCAAGCCCCGCGCATTGTCAAACTCATGGCCTTGCTAAAGAGAATGCGCCAAAACAAAACCAACCAGCTGCCATGACCTCCAAAAATCAAACTGATTGCAAGATGTCATAAGGGATCCCAGTGGAGGGGCCTAACGTTGAGACACACCCAGCCAAGGAACCTTAGCAAAACGGGCCTTCCTACTGGTGCTCGTTTGGAAAACGCTTGATTTGGGATTTGACTGGAAAACGTTTTGGAAACTAAAGCCAGTGGAACCCGTCGATTGCCAGCCAAACTGCGAAATTCAAAGGACACCTACTGTGAATGGACAAAACCCGCTTCGCACCAGTTGGTAGGTGATTTTCATTCATCCATCCCAACTGGTGCATCTAAGGTTCTAAGAGCAAGTTACCCATTCGCCATAGCATGCTATGCTGCACGGTTTTCCTATCCAGGTAACATTGGTTTGTGATGCAACTCTGTGGCTTGAGAAGTTGAACCCTTAGCTGGTGGTCAAACGACACGTGAGCTTGCTCGTATGCGTGGCGCGCAGTCATATACGTAGAGCACGGCCGTGCGTCTGGAGCACCCCAGCTAAAAACGCACGGCAAAAGCCGAGCGCAAGAAACAAACCGTGATGAGATTTTCAGGTATGAAGAAGGGTGAAACTCATGGTATGCCAATGTTTCCGGGGAACTCGCCGTTGGAAAGATGGTTTACACTGGCCCCAAGCCACTACCCCCAGAGGAAAATCGGGGATCAAAACAGCTCAGATCCAAGTAGCCCTTGGCTGGTGTTTTGGATTGGTGGCTTGAATAGTGCAGAGGGTAAATTGGAAACCTCCCAACCTCCAAACGGCCAATTGGAGGAAAGCTGGTATGTGGTGGGATTTGGCCCATTCGCACGGCACACCCGCGTCAAGGCGCCGATCTTCAAGGCTGCGGGGGTTCGGCAGCCACGACACAGTGCCGCTCTTGGACACGTCCGTCACCTTTGTGCCGCAGGGAGGGTGGCAGCGGTTTGATTTCGAGGTCTTCTCCTGGAAAATATTTCGGTGGCGGGCAATGCCCCCTACCCCACTCTCAAAAACATGCAACTCCTCTCTTGCGGCCGGAGTCGCCACAGCAGTGCCGTTCTGCGTCTCCAGGACCACATAGTAGTGGCAGGACACATCCTCGGCGGCCTCCACATAGATCTTGCACTTGGAGACGCGCTCCTTCTCCAGGACCTGAATCTCCGGCGCCCGAAATTGAAATCCAAGTTGCAGTCAAAGTTGCACAGCTAGGACCGAAACTTCAATGCCCCTTTCGGCTTTGAGCACACCACAAGCAATACCAAGTTGCAAGCGACCCGCTTTCGGCAAAGAATCAGAGATTGAGAGCCATGCGTTTCTTCAGATCCCTTCTCGCCTTGGAGTGGGCAACCCCCTGCCAAACAGAAAGGGATTTGGAGCATGGAATCCACTGAACAATTGGGTGAGGTGAGCGTGTCTTTCACCAATCCCCAGCACTTCCAGCCTACCCAAATGCTTCTTGTCTGGTAAGGCGAGCATCGGTTGGTCAAGCACTTCACCTTCCCGGCAGCTCTACCAACAATTTTTGTGCAGGCTCAGGTTTTGCCGGAAATCCTCTGCGATTGAATTTGGAATTCAGACTGATGCCTATGAGCAAAGCTCTGAGACACCTGCATTCCCATGCATAATTGTAAAATCTGGATCGGGCGCCATGAAAGGCAGGTATACCTCCGGGGAGGCAAGTTGAGGCATCTCGTTCCTTCCCTTCAACTTCAGCAACCCCACCCCACCCCACCCCGCCCTCGCCACCCGCCCCCGTCCCTCGCCTCGCTTGGCTTCACGGACTTGGTCTCCCACGAGGCGCTTCCGCTGGAGAAGATCACGCAAATGCACTCCTCCCCCTCCCTCTCCCGCACAGTGCGGACCTGGCATGGGCCTTTTGAGTGTTTTTCGCGCTTTGCTTCACGGGGTCCAGAGCTTTGCCTGTATAGATGTCAGCATTTGTTCAGTTTGCCGTCCCCATGTTGATGCTCTCAGCACCTGTGGTGCAGAGTGCGCTTGCGAGTGCGCTTTTGCAGACACTGGAATTTGTATCTTCGGCCAAGCATGCCTTTCTCTTGACGAAGGGCCGCTTGAACTACAGTTCAGTTGGACTTCGGGGCGCCTTCCACGTATTCGAGATAGGACCCCCTCAGCTCCCCGTTAGCCCATTTTCTGCGCGAACCTTGTTTGTTGCCAGATGTTGCCAGTTGCCCGCCCGAAAAGACAGGGGTCGCTGTTTCGGAAGCCATGACAAACCGCCTTCACAAGAATATGGTTCCCATCCCGGGACACAGCAAGCTGATCAAATGAAACTGCTTGCACTGGAGCCGTTTGTGCCCTCTGGGAGCTGCAGCCACACGGCCCAAGGCCTTGTTCAAGCAAAGAATGGGCCAGGGAGGATAAACCCGGAAGACCAGTTTCCTCTTAAGGATGATTGCTCGGCTACAGACGTCTGATCCCAAGCATCAGTGATACAATTCGAATGCCAACACATGTGCATGCACAATACTTTCTGCCTTGTACAAGCAATGTAACAAACTGCATACAACACGCAGAAACTAAATTCAAGCCTTGCAAAGGTCCCCCTTATCGGCCTCCAGGCTCCCGATCTTGTAGATGCAGAAGGTGAAGCCGTCCTCCGTGGTCTTCTTGAACTCGGGAGAGGCGGAAGGCAGCACCTCGCTCAGCAAGGTGTTCTTCCTTGGCTATCAGCCATGAAGGGCGGGCAACGGGCGAAAGCTAACGAAATTGGACGCGCGCACGAGATGCGCAACAAGATTGCGCTCGTCGAGAAAGATGAGCAGTCACCAAGTGGGAAAAGAGAGTGGGGCAACAAAGTAACAAAGAGGCAACGCGCAAAGAGGCAGAGTCCTACCCACACTGGACGGACAAAATTCTGCACCAAGTTGGTAGGTGCCTTCTCCCAGCACTCATGGGGCATCATCCATCCCAACTGATTCACCGCATGGTCTTCTGTTTGCCCCGCACTAGCTCCAAGCGTCAGCTCTTCGTCCACCTCCAGCTTGTGAAGCCCGAACTTGGTGGGCGCCGTCTCGGCCACCCGCCCGTCCATCTCCACCTGGAGAAGGAAAGCGCGGGCCCGACATCGGAGAACTCCACTTCGGCAGGACCACTGGCACACAAAACCACAAAACACACACACACCAACAATCAAAAGGCACCTCCCACCGCCTGCAGCCTCTGGGAGAAAAAGAGCTGCCCACAAAGCAGCGGGCGGAGGAAGAAAGGCACGCGACCAGCCGACCAGCACCCACATCTCATCCCGCCTGGAAGGAGGGTGTCCAACTCCTGGGGAACTCGGGGCCCGGGTTGGTGACCTGCAGTGCTCCAAGTGTCCCACGCAAAGCTTTTGTTGAAGAATGGGTGAGATAATTTTGGACGTTTTATAGTTGGGTCGCTATTGATACGGAGAAGTATCTCCCTCATTCAGGGAAATGGTAGAAAGTGTTTCCAAGCGAAATCCATGGTGAGTTTGTTTTCTTGGCGGCGGTGTGGTTCATCGGGAATTCCAGTTTTTGGAAGTGGCCCCCAAACCAAAGGGGAAACAAAGAAGGGTGCCCACAAGAGCCACTGACCTCTTCAATCTGACGCTCTTCCATGGCAAGTTTGTTTCTCTTCCGGGGAGGAGGTCCCAGATCACAGCCTCAGCCTTTCGTTACTTTTACAGGCGGGCTTATCTAAGTCTTGCCCAGCAAATGGCTAAGGGGCCAGCAAACTGATAATACTTAAAATTAAGCACAGCGGAGCCTAAGATTTAGCGGCAATGCTGAGCTTAGCATTGGTAATGCTAAAGTAAGCAATGGGAATCTGAGATAAATTGGCAATGTTATGGGGAATTGGGCGGCACTGCGAATGCTAGGCTAAATTCTGCATTAGCACACCCAAGTCCAACCCAACCCCAAACTTTCTATTGAAGAGGGTCAAATGATTGGTTGCTCTGTTCGGCGGGGGGACATATTAAAGGAGGTCCCATGTTGCCGGTTACGTGGTGGGAAAGGTTACTCTGGTAGCAAAAGGGGCCGCTCTTGGGCAGTTTCGTTTTCAGTGCGGAATTCAGCAAAAATGGAACTTGGAGGTTGGAATTCACTGGAAAACCGGGCTAAGGGTCCAAACCATTCTTTGAAGTACCCAAGAAAAGCCCAAACAAGTTATCCCTAACAAAAAATATGACAATCCTCTTGCAGCCCATGGAGGTGTTCACGGCTTTGTCAATACCAATCGCGCCCCGTCCAAACCAAGCCACGGAGAAGCTTTTGTCGGAGAAGCGCTGCTTGCGCCGGTTCCGGATGGACTCCTCCTCTCCCACGATGCCGCGGACCTGCGCGGGCGAGAACTGCAGGCAAGAAGACGAGTTGCTAAAGGAAATTCGAAAGGGTGTCCTCGGAAAGATCCTTAAAGCAATCCTAAAACATCCTAGTGGAGGTTCTTGAAAGGATTCTGAGAACTTCTCAAACAACTGAACGGGACGCAAGTGGAGAACCATGAGCTGCGAGCCCTTGCATCCGCGGGTGCCTTACTGAAACTGGTGCAAACACTCACGCCGCTGTGCGGATTGCCAAGAAGCCATTGGCGCCTGGCAGGTGGTTAGAATGTATCCTCGAAACTTCGAACAATCACGCCGGCCAAAGCCGACTCTCAGCTCATCTTTCGCGCCCGCTGCTTGGCATGTTGGTTGGTTTGGCATTGGATTGCAAATAGCCTGGTATGTCTTTGACGTTTCACAAGTGGCCCAGCCACGAGAGCCGAAACCTCGTTTTGGGTGGGCACGCTGCGTTGCGCTCCTGTAGATTCACATATGGAACCAGAACGCCCTTCTTGGAGGAGCCTCCTTTTTCAGGCAAGGCGGCGAGGGAAAGCGGCACCTTTTCGGGTTGATTTACGGCGTGCCTTGGTGATGTACTCCAGGTTGGGGTCAGGCGGCACAAAGGCTTCGCCCTCCTCCGTGCGGTCGCACTGGGGCACGTTGAAGATGTTCAGCAAGAGCTTCCTTTGGTTGCCCGACTGTTGTTCGGAAGGGGGGTCCCTGTGAAACGGAGGTTCCGAAAAAGGCATTGCGCAAGTTGAGGGGTCTGATCCAAATTGCCTCCCACAACCCTGGCACACATTCGAGGGTCTGGACCCCCATCCCCGAGGCTTCTCCAGGGGACCATGCCTTCTCAGTTCTTGGAACCGCTCTAAAGGGCGCTACACCCAGACATAAATTTACTTGATGATTGCTTTCCCAGCTGTCCCCCCCTCACACGAAGGTTCAACGCACTGAGACCTCTTTCTCTTTAGGCGCTGTTTCACAAGCAATCTGGGCCCCTGGGACTGGAAATGGAACCCTGTTGTTTTCCCTGTGGTCAAAAACCAGCTAGGATCCCCAAGAAATAACAGGGGATCCGATCAGGGCGACGCAGAACCGGCTGGGGGGAACCGCCCGAAAAAAAAAAAAAAAAAAAAAAAAAAAAAAAAAAAAAAAAAAAAAAAAAAAAAAAAAAAAAAAAAAAAAACTGAGAAGGCACGATACCCCGGGGAAAAGCCGATGTGTGTTTTTACTGTAAGGTACCTCATTTTTGGCCATAGGCTTTTCCCAAGTGGACAGTGCCTTCTCAACTTTTTATTTTTTTTTAAAAATAAAAATAAAAATGAGCGAGCACGCAGAGGTTGGGGGAGCACGCAAACCCGGAGAAGGCCCGCAAAACCGGAGAAGGCCCGCAAAACCGGAGAAGGCCCGCAAAATCCGGAGAAGGCCCGGAAAAAATATGAGTCTGTTTTGTTTGGCGATGTGTGACGTGCAAATCCGCATCCATGGCTGCTGGTGATGCCTGTGCTGCTGCTGATGCTGGTTATGCCTTTGATGCTGGTGATGCCTCTGAACTGGTAATGCCTAAAAGTATCAGGCCAGAGCCAAGGCTGACAAACCAACATGCCAGCCCTTGAGAAGGCACGCTTATCTGGGGGAACCCGCAAAATCCAGAGGACGCGTGTCCAGACTTCCGACACATGGTGCATTGTCTGGGCAAATGGCAAAACTCACAAACCCCCGGCTCAAATGACGGACAGAGAGGGAACAAGGAGGGACCAAGGAAGAGACTCGAAAGCCCAAAATATGTCCCACTGGCCTATAAACAGGTGGTGACATCAATCAATTCCCCGTGAAAGGCGCCAATCCGTGAAAAGCTGAAGGCTTCGGTAGCAGAGGCACGGCAACACAAATGAACATTATATATACTTTGAATTCACGTTCGACAAGCTGGAACCCACCAACAAATTGGGGGAGGGAGGGTACCTTACCTAGGTTTGTGACCACCCCTAAATGGTTGGCCTCGTTTTTGAGCCATTCAGCCCGACCGAGAGGGGAGTCCCACAAAAAGGATTCGAACCACACCCACCTCCCTGGTTCCACGCGCAAACCGGTTTCGAACTCCGGGCGTCTGATCCGAAGGCTTCATCTCCGCGAAGCGCTGCTGCAGGCCCTGCAAGAAGGCCCGGCCCAGGGTGACCTTCGCCTACGCTCGCGGCTCGGGGCAGCGGATTGCTCTCGGGAGGACAAGGGGGGGGGGAACCGTGGAAGGATCACCAAACTGGAAAGCAAAGAGGTGTCGTTTTTTGAAATGAAACAATCATGAACTCCGGGCCTGAAGGAGGTCCGCACTTTGAGGGATTCATAATAAAGGTGGGCCCTTTCTAGGATTGGTTTAAGCAATGAGTCATATACGAACCCTATCATCTAGCAAGAAGAAGAGGTAAAAACTCAACTCCTCAAATGTCCACTGTGTAAAACGCAGTGGGAACACGCAAAATGCGAAAACACATGATTGTTCACCATAAGGCGGTTCCAGGCGCCGGCAAACATGGAGGCCGCTGAAAAACACCAAGTGGTTGTCAGCCTATGATGCTGCAGATTTATGAGCATGGAACTCAGAGATATGTCATGTTGCTTGAGGTTGCCTCTGGGGGCGGGCACGCAAGTTGTGGGTGTCGTATTATATATCAGCCTAGGCCCTGCCATCCCGATGCCTTCTTAGCTCGCTCAACGTGCATGTTGGCTCAAGAAATACCGGTTAAGCCAAAGCAATACATGGAGTGTGTACGCACATAGTGGACCCCAAAACTAGTTGGTTTCTTGAAGTTTCTGATTGAATAGCCTCTGAAGCTTGAGGGAGAAATCTGTGCCGTGAACGTCTTCGCCCTGACAACTCACTTGAAGCCCCTGGGGTGAGAAAAGCAGGATGGGAATCAACCATCCAAAAGTTAAACGTCTCGGGGGTCAACAAATCCTTGGGCAAATGACTCCAAAATCCGACAGCCATCCAAGCGGCAAGCTTCCCTCGACTTTCGAAGAGCCGAAGGCGTCTTGGCAAACTCAGCCGGCGGAAAGCCGTCAAAGGCCCCTGCCTCCAGGGAGTTGGGCCCTCCGCTGCAGGGCGGCAGCTTGTTGAAGCGGTCCTCCTGGGTTCCAAGGCTCCGAGACCCTTCGGTCGGACGGGTGGAGCTTGGCCCGTGGAAAGCGGCGAAGTTGGGCTCAAAGTGTGCACAAGTGGGATAAAGCTACAAGGCTAACCACCATCTGGCGCAAGGATAATAAAGGATTCATTTTGGACAACTCAAGCAAAAATGAACCATAATGAAACGAGAAGGTTTGGTCATCTTTCCAGGCTTCAGAGCAACCCTTCCAGGCTTCGGAGCAATCCAGTCCTTGGAGAGAGAGAACTTGTCCAAGTTCAGGTCGACACCCTGGAGCCAGGGCTCATAGCTGCGATTCAATCAACTCTCGCCATTGGTGTTCGAGAGGTGGTCCAGAACTCGTATGCAACAATCGGGTTGAGGGCCCAAGCCATCAGAGTCGGTTCACATCTTCGCGGCCTTCTTGGGGCCACGGAGTTTGTTCACCCCTTCGTCCCTCAAGTGGCACAACTGGGCCGCATGGTTCCAATGCATCCCGGTGCCAAACGCCACGCCTGGGGCATCTCCCCGCGCTGACCCAGCTGGAAGCGCTGGGGCATGAAGAGGGGCCTACAACAGATCGAAAGGCCGGGGGCGTCATGTGGTTGCCCTGCAAAAAGTACCCCCACCTACCAACCAAACGCAAAAGACTTGAAAAGGTATCACTGCTTGCTAGCCAAAAAAAAAGGAAGTCATGTTCTCCAACAAGTCAAAGTTTTGTTCGGTCAAAGCGAGGAGCAACCGAGAAAAGGATGCACCATGGTGCCCTGAAGAAGAAAACTCTCCCAAAAGCAGCAATGACAACAAGGAGAAATGCCAAGGAAGGGATACCCTCAAAAAGGAACACCCACAAAACAAGAATGACACAGAACCCCAAGAAAGAGGTACAGTTCACCTCGAGTTGCTTGATCCGCGTGGATTACTAGGGTGTTCTCCCTGAGAATGAAACCCCGCCGTCATGCCTCCCACTCTGCGCCAAGGGCATCCCCGGCCGCGCCGTGCTGCCCTGGAGCGCGTGGCGCTGCGCCAGCTCGAAGCCTCAGGCCCAAAAAGGCGGGCGGGGTGGAAACGTCCCACACGAACTGAAAAGGGTGACACCCATCCCCTTGATACCCAAGAGTTCCTGAAACGGAGGCGAAACCTAAACCAGGACAAGCCCATGCACACAAACTACAAAAGTCTGAGCAATTTGAATTAAACGTGGTTCAGAAAAGTGGCCCAGCTCAGCGGTGCAGCTCGCAAACCAACTCCCATTTCCTTTCAAGGGCAAGCTAGATATGTCCGCCGACATTGCTCGGCGTGTCGGACACCTAAGAGAGGATAGAGGATAACCCCCCCCCCCCCCGATGTCTGATACCCCCCCACCCCCACCCACCCCACGGACCGCGCGGCAATTTGATGACGTTCCACTGAACGTCTTCGCAGAGCCGGTGTCGCAAAACAGGGGTCCCAGGCTCGACTCCCCCTGCCGGCTCTTTGCTTTGGACGTCCTGATTGCAAAAACGCTGGAAAAACCGTGTTTTTTTTTGCGGGAAATATTGGGGAGAAAAGGGGAAATGCAAGGAAGTGCAAGGAAATGAGGGAAGGAAATCGGAAGTCGACAAAGGGGAACTGAAAGGACATGCAAGGGACAGAAATGACAACAAGGGGAGTGCAGGGGAATGAAAGGGAAACAAAGCACAAGGAAACCAATCGGCACGTAGGGAAATGACTCGCAACGAAAGAATGGGACATACATGGAAAATGAAGCGGACATACCGAGAAAATGTCAGGGACATGAAGGGGGAGTTGAAAGGCATGGAAGGGACATGACCAGGACGTCATGGGAAACGTGGGACGGACACGAAGGGGAAAGCCAGTAGTGAGATGACAGATGAAGGGGCAGTGCCCGGACATCGAGGCAACTCAGGGGGGCGTGACGCTGCAGCGCAGAGAGAGAGAGAGAGAGAGAGAGAGAGACAGGGAGAGAGCGGGAAAGAGAGAGGGAGAGAGAGAGAGAGAGCGAGACACACAGAGAGTGAGAAAGAGAGAGAGAGAGAGAGAGAGACAGAGACAGAGCCAAAGACAGAGCCAGAATCAGAGAAACAGAGAAAGAGACAGACAGAGAGAGAGAGAGAGAGACAGAGAGCGAGAGAGAGAAAAAGAGAGACTGAGAAAGAGAGAAAGAGCGAGAAAGAGCGAGAAAGTGAGAGAGTAGAGAGGTTCGAACTAGGGTACCCTTTTTCTGTAGAGGGGCGTGGACAGGAAGGAGACAGGGAGACAGAAAAAGACAGAGAAACAGAGAGAGAGAGAGAGAGAGAGAGAGAGAGAGAGAGAGAGAGAGAGACAGAGAGAGAGAGGGAGGGAGGGAGAGGGAGATTGAGGAGAGAGAGGCTTGGGGGGACGGGGAGGATGGGGAGCAGGGGGAGGGAGAGAGGACGACAGAACACACGAGGGAGACAAGGGAGAGAGGAAGAAGGAGAGCCGGAGGCTCACTCTAAAGTAATATGTGTCAAGGTTCGGGGACCCAAACAACGGTGGTTTCCCTTTTGCCTTGTGGTTTGCTTGAACCGAAACTTGGCCCCCCCACTCTTGCACACCAACAAATATGTTCAGAGTCTGGTTCATAATTAGTTTGGCCCCATATATACACCATGTAGAAGACCCCAAGAATGGGCACCATCAAAAAGACCCAAGCAGCACCGACCGACCTCCGTGCCCAGCAACGGTCCAGGCCGAACTCCACACCCCCGTAGATCGCCTGCAGCCGGCTCTGGCCGCCCGTGATCACGTCCACCAGCTTTCCGTTCCTAGGGAGACATCTGCCCTGAGGTCCCTCACAATTGGCCCAAGGGGAACCCACAACCTGTCGCTTTTGCAGGGTGTTCAGGCACACCTGGTTTGGGGCGGGGCTTGGATTCTCAATCCACTTCGTAAGGTTATATTCATGGTTGTCTCTCCAAGCTGTGTTGTCCCGTTTGTGACGAGCATCCAGGTGAAGCCATTATCAATCATAATCGAGGAATCCCTTTTAACTTCTCTCAAAGCGGGACCTGCGGGTGGTTGTCTTAATCAGGTGTGCCGCCCGCCCGACCTCCCGCCTCAGCTGGATGCGGCTGTTGCCCCGCATGTTCCACAGCTGCGGGATCTCAGGGAAGGCCTTCGCGTGGAGAAGGCCGTTGGCGGTTGCCGCAAATGTCTTGGCCAAAACAAGCCCAAACTTGTTGCTCGCCACTAAAATCCTCACCCCAAAAGTATCGTGCCGAAACTCAGGAAGCGCCATGGCACTTATCAAAACACCGACCCGAATCCAACTCCCCCGACTCCCGACCTCGGGCTCGGTGCCCTTCACGATCTCATCCGCCATCTTGTACCAGGAGGGGTCCAAGCGGGCCTTGGAGTCCACCAGGTACTTGGCCATCACCTGGGCTCGCTGGCCCCCACAACCGCCCAGGGCACACCAAAAAAGAACTCCACAATAAGGATGCCCTGAAAGAAAGAACGCCGCCACAAACTGGGAAGTCGAGCACCTGACGTGGGATCTGGAACCTTCTCCAGGCTATACAAGGCCGTTAAGACCTTGCCTTCCAATCCAAATTGGAGGAACTACGCAGGCTTCTCTTGCCAGAACAGCAGGAGCAGCAATGCAGGCAGGAAGGGGGCACCAAACCCATGGCCCATCCCACTTGCGTCGCAGGCGCGGAGGCTTTGGCAAGCTCCCTAAGGTGGAAGACGACACCTGCAAGCAAGCTTGGGCTCCTGCAAGGTGTGGTCCGTGGTCCCAAATGTTTCTACACCGCAACCCGTAGGCACCACTACAAGGGAGAGAACTACCAGCTGGCATGAGGAGTGAGGAGTCGGCTGGTTCCGCCCCCAGACCTCGAGCCAGGCCCTTGCCCAAACCCTGAGGAAACATGGCTCGGGAAGTACACTGAGGCAGGCCAAGTCGGATATCCCAAACATGGGAGCAACACGAAATGTGATTGACTTCACGTCGGACTAAAGAGGGATCTTCCCCCCCGGATTAGGAAACACCTATAAACAAAAACTGCCATCATGCAACCACTGGGCACTTCCTTGCTCTTTGGAACGTGTGCTAACTTCTAGATAGTGCGCTTGCCAAAAAGCTCATTTGTCTGTGAGCACGCACATGGAGGGAGTGGGACGCAGCCTGGTCAGTTTCGTTTCGCAGCTGAACCTAGCTATGCCGAACACCTCACACAAGTCACATCGCTCGAAATACTGACTCATGCCAATGTTTCAATACGCAAGCCCCTCAGGGCGGCGTATGGTGGTTTTCGTTTGGTGTCCCCATAAGACTATCCAAACAGAAGGATTCCTACTTTAGACTTCAGGAACTTCCGAGGTAGCCCCCAACTGGCTAGCAGCTGGAAATACAACGTGGCATTGTGCACTGACGTTGCTGAGCCCGATTTCAGCACATGGCGTCAAGGGAGCAAGCTACAATTTCAACCCCAGTTTAGTCAACCTTGTGGAATAGTAAGGACCAGCCCACCATTGAAGGATTACCTCTTAAGTGGGACACCTATATTCATCAACCCTGGTGTATAGCATAGGTTCCCACTACCGTCATTGTCCCTACTTTATATAACCCATGCTTGGAAAACGCAAATCAGCTTTGCCACAAGTAAAGCTGACACAACTTCTAGGAGCGTCAGCCGTTCACCATGTCGGGCAGCTCTTGCGCTCCGCAATGACGTCGAAATTCCTGGCGAGCACCCGCCCACTGACAAACATGTTTCTGAAGGAAAGCCGTCTTGCAAAAGCGGCAACTGTGTACTTCCACGCTTTTGGATGGGTGGTTGACTAGTTTTGACTGGCTGACTGGCCGGGCGCAAACCCAACTGAGACGCCAATGTTGCTCGAGCCAGCTCTGGGCGGGCCTCACCAAACGAGGTGAGACAGTCTCAGTGAAACCTATTTAGAATGAGGCAAACTAAACAAACAGTTCCCAAGCTTCTGCGTTTAAAGTTATGATTTTTTTAGCCAGCCAGAGACTGGAAATGTTGAAATATTTATTTTTTCAAAAAATTATCGATTTGGTTATCCTCAAACCTATCCAAAAATCATCCTACAATCATCCTCTGCAAAAAACATCATCGAAAAATCATCCTCTCCCTCCTCCTTCATCCCTCCTCCACATCGCTTCTATTCTCTGCGTTTCCATTTTCCTTTCCTTCCCGTTCCTTCCCGTTCCTTACCCTTTTCCATTTCCCTCTTCTTGTTTCCATGTTCCATCTCCTTTCTCTTTTTTCTCTTCCTTGTCCTCTCCAATTCTCTTTGCCCTGCCCTGTTCCTTCTTTCCCTTTTCACTCTTCCTCTTCCTGAGACTGACGGGAAAAGCAAAAAGTTGCAAAACCCTCATGTTTTTTTCAAAAAATCATCGAAAAATCATCGAACAATCTTCGAAAATCATCCCCAACCCACATTTTCTGGACCAAACCCCCTTCACAGTGGTCAGGAAAGCAAAAAGTTGCAAAACCCTCGTGTTTTTTTCAAAAATCATCGAAAAATCTTCCCCAACCCACATTTTCTGGACCAACCCCCCTTCACAGTGGTCAGGAATGCAAAAAGTTGCAAAACCCTCCTGTTTTTTTCAAAAAATCATCGAAAAATCATCGAAAAATCTTCGAAAAATCATCGAAAAATCTTCGAAAAATCTTCGAAAAATCATCCCCAACCCAAATTTTCTGGACCAACCCCCCTTCACAGTGGTCAGGAAAGCAAAAAGTTGCAAAACCCTCCTGTTTTTTTCAAAAAATCATCGAAAAATCATCGAAAAATCTTCGAAAAATCATCGAAAAATCTTCGAAAAATCATCCCCAACGCAAATTTTCTGGACCAACCCCCCTTCACAGTGGTCAGGAAAGCAAAAAGTTGCAAAACCCTCCTGATTTTTTCAAAAAATCATCGAACAATCTTCGAAAAATCATCGAAAAATCTTCGAAAAATCTTCGAAAAATCTTCGAAAAATCTTCGAAAAATCTTCGAAAAATCATCCTGACCGGAATCCATCTTCAAAAAATCATCCAACAAATTATCCTGCCTGACATCAACCTTCCAAAAATCATCCTCCCTATTTTCCTCCCCTGTTCTCCA